CTCAGTTTGCTCATTATTAGTGTATAGAAATGCTAATGATTTTTCTATGTTGATTTTATATCCTGCTACCTTGCTATAGCTATTGATGGTGTCTAGGAGCTTTTGAGTAGAGTGTTTTGAGTCTTTAAGGTATAGAATCATATCATCTGCAAATAGGGATATTTTGACAGTTTCTTTACCTATTTGTATTCCTTTTATTCCTTCTTCTTGCCTAATTGCTCTGGCTAGGAATTCCAGTACTATGTTGAATAGGAGTGGAGATAGTGGGCATCCTTGTCTCATTCCTGATTTTAGAGGGAATGGTTTCAGTTTTTCTCTGTTAAGTATAATGCTGGCTGTAGGTTTGTCATATATAGCTTTTATAATGTTGAGGTACTTTCCTTCTATTCCTAGTTTTCTTAGAGCTTTTATCATGAAGTGGTGTTGGATATTATCAAAGGCTTTTTCTGCATCTATTGAGATGATCAAGTGGTGTTTGTCTTTGCTTCTGTTAATGTCGTTTATTGATTTTCGTATGTTGAACCACCCCTGCATTCCTGGGATAAAGCCTACTTGGTCATGGTGAATGATCTTTTTGATGTGTTGTTGAATTCGGTTTGCCATTATTTTATTGAGGATTTTTGCATCAGTGTTCATTAAGGAGATTGGCCTATAATTCTCCACTTTGGAGGTGTCTTTGCCTGGTTTTGGGATAAGTGTAATACTGGCTTCATAAAATGTGTTAGGCAGTTTTCCTTCCCTTTCTATTTCGTGGAACAGTTTAAGGAGGGTTGGTATCAGTTCTTCTTTAAAGGTCTGATAGAATTCAGCAGAGAATCCGTCAGGTCCTGGACTTTTCTTTTTAGGGAGACTGTTTATTGCTGCTTTAATTTCATTCTGTGTTATAGGTCTATTCAGGTGATTAATTTCCTCTTGGTTCAGTTTTGGATGATCATATGTATCTAGAAATCTGTCCATTTCATTAAGATTTTCGAATTTATTTGAATATAGGTTCTCAAAGTAGTCTCTGATGATTTCCTGGACTTCCATGCTATTTGTTGTTATCTCCCCTTTTGTGTTCCTGATTTTACTAATATGGGTTTTTTCTCTCCTCATTTTAGTCAGGTTTGCCAGGGGTCTATTGATCTTATTTTTTCAAAGAACCAGCTTTTTGTTTCATTAATTCTTTGTATGGTTTTTTTTTTTTTTTTGGTTTCTATTTCATTGATTTCAGCTCTTATTTTTATTATTTCTCTCCTTCTATTTGTTTTGGGATTTGCTTGTTTTTGTTTTTCTAGGAGTTTGAGAATTGGGTCATTGATTTGAGATCTTTCAGCCTTTTTAATTCTACCAGCCCTTTTTTGTGTTTTGTTTTTTTTCTCTTTTTTTAGATAGGGTCATGTGAGCTATTTGCCTGGGCTGCTTTCAAAGTGTGATCCTTCTGATCTCTGCCTCCTGAGTAGCTAGGATTACAAGTGTGAGCCACTGGTGCCTGACCTGAGTTTTTTTTTTTTTTTTTTTAACAATATTTCCCTTAGACTTTTCTTTCTGGAGCTGTTTTTGAGTGCCTTGGCTTTCATTAATGTTGATTTCCTGTTGCTTGAGTCTTGTAAGTTTTTTTGAAGTTCTTATCTTGTATTTTGTTTCTATAGTTATGTTTATCATACTGGCCCTGATAAATACACATCCACCCATTTAAGGGACAGTCCTGTTCAATGTTTTGTCAAAAGAGTAGAAAGAAAGCTTGACAAGGATGGTAGAGTAACTTTAAGACAGTGGGCATGAAAGACAGAGATGAAAGAGGGACATTGAGGTGGCAGCTTGGGTGCATGCTACTTTCTCCATCATATCTAACTTGATTCATACTGCTAATGAGTCCCAGGAAAGAGCTTTTGCCATTGTATGGATGAGGAAATCTAGTCACAGAGGATGAAGTGATTTTTCTCAGATGGCATGACTACCAAATAGTACCTTTAGGACTTGAATCTCTGAATAGAAGCCAGAGCTTTTCCATGGAGCCCCACAATGGATGTGGCCTCCTCCTGACCAAGTAGGGAGGAACAAATAGACTAGGCAAGCATCTTTAGAACATTTGACTACATGTGGATGTTAAAACTCAGGATTAAGGTCAGCACCTCATGCTATACTATACAGTAAATAACAGGTGACATAAAGGGTTAAGTGTCTTGCAAGGTATTTAGCAGAAAATAGGATTCAATATTAGATTCACAAAGGGTTGATAAGTTCTTAAGCCTTAATAAAATGGCAAAGGAGAAAAGAGGTACCTCAATTTTATTAAATCATATTATTTAAAAGTAATTTCTAGTGGAGTGTGGTGGTGCATGCCTGTAATCCCAGCTACTTCAGAGATGAAGAGAGGAGGTTCTTGAGTTTGAGGCCAGTCTGGAAAAAGTTGGTGAGATCTTATCACAAAAACATCATAAAAGGAAGGGAGTGGGGGAATACCACCATATGAATAAAACAAAAACAAAAACAAAAACATCATAAATACAAAAGGACATGAGGTGTAGAGCAGAGGCCCTGGGTTCAATCCCCAGTACCAAAAAAGGTGAAAAATGGCATAATTGATATGAAAAGAGACCATGGCATGGAGGAATGTCATTTACAACTGATGTGTCCTATGTAGCTAAAATAAAGCAGCCACCCAACCAGTAAAAAGAGCAGGATGTCAGCAGTGAGCAAATGTCAGAAGTGGATATTCAACCAAATAAGGCATACAAGTGGGTGAGGGAGAACACCTAGCCTCACCAAGCATCAAAGGAGGCAAAGCATCAGTGTATTGCGTTGCAGTGTGTTCATTTTGGAAGGCAGCTTAAGAACCATAAAATAGTGGCCTTTGTAGAGTCCTGGAATTTCACCCTAAAAATTAATTAAGTAGTAAAAAAAAAAATCAGCATGCATGAAAATGTTCATTGCAAATGTATTCATCCTAAGAAAATAATTTTTAAAATTAAACAAATGTGTTCACAAGCACATTTAAAATTTCTGGTGTGTTGACTCAGTTCATAGATCTTTTAAGTGACTATCAGGTGGTATGGAAACCTGAAAATCAAAAATAAAATAAAAATGAAGCATAAGAAATATGCAAGCATTGAATATGTATAGGAGCAAGAACTGGGGTTGGAGCATGGGCAAATGAAACCGGCTCATGGTATGTTGCAGGCAGATTTTCTTTGGTTTCCATGAACGGTGCTGTATGGTCTGTGCTGCTTATGCAACAGCTAGCAAGTCTGTGAGTCTTTGGGGTTTTGTAGGAGAGTCCAGGATGCTGTGTTATGCCATGGCTTCCGGGAGCTTTTCTGCACTTGTCCTCTGGGTGGCTTGTGGCATAGTTGATTGGGCTCTTTCTCTTTCCAAACTCCCTTTCTCTGCTGGGAAAATAGAACAAATCAAATTTGTGGTGACTGTTTTCCCCTAAAAGCTGTGTTTGTTTTACTTCCTTTAGGAATTTTAGGAATGGTTATTTTTGGTGATATTTAAAAGAAATAAAGATGATCTATAGATGACCTTAAGTTCCAGCTCAAGGGTTTTCTTTAGCCTGACGTTAAAAAAAAAAAAAAAAAAATCGAGGCCTTGTGTGTGCTGTTTCCTGAGGTCTGTGACGATGGCACGCATGGCGACGGAGGGCCAGTTCATAACTCACCATCCTACAGGCACTGAGAACCTCAGTTACTCCCACCGTTGCTGAGAACAGTAAACCATAGGAATCTCACCTCAGGGGTACCAAGGCACTACTTAAGGAGAAAAAGTATAGAAATAAGATTAATAGTATGGAATTCAGTTAAAAGCCCGTAAAATGTCAGGCCACACATTTTGGGGGAGCTAATTGTAGTTGTACATGAAATGTAAGAGATAATACACTGCTGGTTTCACCATGGTAGCATTTTACAAAACTGTAGTAATGGTGAATTTTCAAAAGAGCTATATAGAACAGATAGAAATTAACATAAAACAAGTGGATTTGGGCCACTTGTGAAAATAAAGACAGGTGTAAGTGAAATAGGTAACATCTCTGCCTCTGGAACCAGACAGAATGCCTCTGGGCCTGGCTCTGCCACTCATACTGTGTCCTGGGAAGGAGGTTCCCAACTTATCTGAAAGTTTGTCTGACTGCTATAACAAATGGCCACAAACTGGGAGGCTTAAAATGGCAGAAATTTCTCACAGTTTTGGAGGCCAGCAGGTGAAAGTCAAGGTGTGGACTGGCCTTGTTTCCTCAAAGGCTCTGGGAACAACCGTCCTCATTTCTTCCAGCTGGTGATGGCTGCCTGCAGTCCCCTGGGGTTAGTGGGCTTTAGGCTGCCTCCCTCCAACCTCTGCCTTTGTCTTTATGTAGCTCTTTTCCCTTCTGCCTCTGTTTCTTTTTATAAGAACACTAGTCTTCTGGGGTTAGTATTTAACTCTGTAGTACACTATCCACCAGAAACCCGGCTCAGTTTCCTCATCTGTAAACTGTGGACCAAGAATAGAATTACTCTCAGAGTCAGTGTAAGGAGTACGTGCCTGATTGCTGTCAGAGACACCCAGTAGTTTATAAGGACCTTTGTGGATGTCCCGGGCCGCCTGAGGCACCTCTGCCTCTGCAGGTTGTCTCTTTGCTCCTCTAGCTGCCCTGTGGCTCCTGCAGTGCAGTCCAGGGCTGTCTCACTCAGTGCTCTGTGGTCATCAGTGGAGCTGTCCCTGAGGACAGGAGGGATAGCCTAACATGCCCATCAGTTGCTCTCTCAGTAGGTAGACCTTGACTTTGACCAAGGTGAACAGATTTTCACCAGGAGAATTTTTGTACATAGTTTTGGTATAATAGATAATGATGTTGTTGATAAATATCCACACTAATTAGCATAAATACAGACTTCCTAAAGCCTTTCAAGTAGTAAATATTTTTTTAAATAAGCATTTTTTTAAAAAGTATAACCTAGTGGAATGCCTCAATCAGTTAAGTTTTAAGATAGCATCAGCTTATTATACTAAATTGTTCATCTTACTTTTTCTGTTTATAGCTAAACCATTTACACAGCTGGTGAAGGATATGCAACTTCATCGAGAGGACTTTGAAATAATCAAAGTAATTGGAAGAGGTGCTTTTGGTGAGGTAAGAGAAACTTCCCTATGTTAATTTCATCTAGATGTCCAATGCAGCAACAGCTCTTCTTACCTTCTGGGGGACCTGTTTGTTGGTATCATCTAGAGAGCTCTGGATGGGTAAAATCTGAGAGAGTGAATTAAGCGGGTAACAAAAATGAAAAGAGAAAGCTTATGATTGGTGACCAAAAATAGTTTCTAAAAGATATAAGTAAGTTTGGAAAAGTCCATTTGGTAATTGAAAAGTATCTTGGCATTTTTTTAAAAGCTGCAGAGAAGTTAAGTGAGGTTTGCTCTTGGGCTCTGCAGCTTGTTGGCCATCTGCACCACCCATGTTGGCAGTGGTCAGGTCCAGCTGGAGCAGCTTCCCAGGTCTGTACCTGTGGTAAGCCTCCACCTGAGCTCTGCTTGCTTGGGGCTGATGTTGGTTACAGAGGAAAAGCCACAAGGAAGCACTCTTGTCTCATCCCGCTGGACGTCACTGTGAAATGCTGTCGAGTGTGAAATGGCTTTTGTTGTGCCGGACTCCTGTTTTCCTATGTGCAGATGTGAAAGAAAGCAATGCAGGAGTTTAATGAGGTAGCTTCTTTGCTCTGCAGTATCATGTGACTATAGAGACTAAAGAGGGCCTATCATCTATTTCAGAAAATGTCTCAGTATTTTTTCTGAATATTTTCTTCTGCTAAAGGCACTTGATGACACCTCTACTTTATCTGCACATCTTCAGTGGGAATACACAGAAAATATTCCTAGGAAAATTTCTTAAAAACTACTAAAGTGGCCAGGTATGGTGGTACAGGCCATTAATCCCAGCTACTTGGGAGGCTAAGGCAGGAGGATCACAAGTTTGAGGCCAACCTAGGCAACATAGTGAGACCCTGCATCAAAAATAGGTAAATAAATACAAACATTGGCACAAGAAAGCTGTGTTGCTCCTGCCTGAGCATGCAGTGGTAGCTGTGTCATGCTGCATTGCTTTCTTGGAAATTACCCCAGGTCTCAAATCAGATTCCAGCTCCAATTCCTGAAATGGACCCTATGTCTCTTGTCCTCCATCTCTGCTCTATCTTCCCACCATCCCTTGTGTAAAGGGAGGGAGGTGGTCAAGTCCAGTGGCTGCTTATCACAGCTCCAGGTTTATCTCAGTACCACCCTGAATGAAAGAATCCCAACCAAATTCACTTTGCGTGGGCTAGGCCAGAAAGCTTTTTGAAAGTATTGGAATGTGTAATAGATTTTGGGTATCTGTGGGTCTGTGGTTCTAAGCACACCACTGATGAGGACAAACGGCAAATGCTTAGGACGCAGCTGTACTGCAGATGCTGGATTCATTTTTTCCCATAACACTGTCCAAGCTCTGCTGACGACATGCCGCTTTTCACCATGTAAGCACACTACATGCCCTTTTTGGCTTGGGAGGATTACCATAACTTTAATCTTGCTTTTTGGTGACCATTTGCTTTTTGGGAGGCATATTTTCACAAAATGAAAGGCAGGGAAACACTCAGCAGATGACAGAACAATTTAATCATAACTGACTGAGAGCTGCTCCACATTTGCTGAGCTGCATAATACTCACACAGGAATTTAAAATTGCTGTTTCTGAAATTTCATTTGATTTCTTTTTAGTTATTACTATTTTTTGACCATGCTTGACCAAAGCTACATGTAATATGTCCAGGAATAAAACATGCTTACTGTAATTCCATATAAGATGCACAGTTCTAGGTATGCAGTTTGCATTTTGACAAATGTCTGCAGCCTGTAACCAGCACCCCAGTCAATGCAGAGTATCTCTGCCCCCTCCCAGAAAGTTCTCACCTGTCTCTTTCCACAACCCAGGCTCTTTGATTGCCACCATTTAACAGAGACACTTGAAAAACTTGAGTTCCACATAAAGTAAAAATCTCCTAAGAGGTAAATAGTTTGTTGATGACGTAAGTGTGGTTTTTTTTGTGTGTGTGGTGAGAAGACAGAGAAAGCCTTTAACATTAAAGGCAGCTTCCATCCAGTGCACATTTTGGCTGCCTGTCTTGCTGGGGCAAAGGTGAATCCATCAAGCCCATCCAGAGAGCTGCAGCCACAGCTACACTGGCCAGAGGGTGTTTGGAGAGGGAAGAAGGGATATTGCAGGGTAGGAGGTGATAATTAAGAGGAAAAATGAGAGAAGGAAGGGAAAATTGCCATGCCAAAATAGTTTATGGTTGTTTTTAGTGCTCTTCTTTGGAAAATAATACAGTATAAAAACTCAGTATTTCATGGGTCTCAGAGAAGATGGCATGGACCAGCTTCAGGCCCTCCTAGATTAAAAGAAGCCTGTCTTTCTTGCCCAGTATTCCCCTCAAGGCTTTGCAACTTCACTTGCTTTTTTTTTTGGTGGTGTTGGGGCTCAACCCAAGGCCTCTCATGAAGGCTTTGAGCTTCTAAGCTCTTCTCCTGACATCCCCCTCCGTCATCCCTCAGTGACCTCAACACCATCCACCAGTGTCCTCCCAGGTTTCTGGGTTCAGCACCCACCTTTTCTTGCTGAACCTCTGTAACTGTCTGGCCGACCTCTTACTCACTCTCCTGAGGCACTTACCAAGCTTCCCTTCCATTTGGACTCTGTAACTAATGTCACCATCACCCCTGTAATTCCTGGCTGTTCTTGTCCTCATGTCCCTGAAATGTGCCAATTTCAGCCTCTGTCTCTGAAGGTACCTAGTAAGTCATAGAAGTGAGGACATTTGTCAGCCTTGGGAGCAGAAGTGTTGAGTTATGTTTTTATTAACATGTAATAATTGTACATATAAATGGGGCATCGTGTGGTATTTCATCTCATGTATACACTGTGTCCTGATCAAATCAAGAGTAATTAGCATTTTCTTCTCCCTATTTCTTTGGAGCCTTTAAGCTCCTTTCTCTAGCTCTTCATAAAATAATATGTTACTGAGTTAGGTCTTTCATGCCAAGCCAGAGTCTACAATATAGTCCAAGTGTGACCTGTGGCACTTAAATTGTGCACAGTGTGTAGCAAGTGCAGGAAACACAGTCACAATTAAAGCCTTCTCCTCCCCAGCATGGAAGAACATTTCCAGCTTGTTATTAAAGTGAGGTTCAGGATCTATGGGGTGTTGCCTTTTTCTGGAACACAGTGGGTTTGAAAACACCTGCTGCTTCTCCTTTGTATCTTAGTAGCAGCTCAGTCCATGGTGTTCCTGTGACAGGGATGTCCCCTGAAAGGGCAGTGCCTACTGATGTGAAGGGCCCCAGACCTGTGTCTGGGGCCCAATGGTGGCCAGGAGTGACTGGGCCTTAGATAATACCAGAGCTTACAGAAACTCTCCACTTGCAGCTGCACCAGGTGCAGCTTCTGCTGCATTGGTAAGAGAGCAGGACCCAGAGCAGCAAGCCTGGGTGGAGCTTGACTTGAATCTCGTGAGCCTAGGTACTGCCGTGCTCGCTCTTGTTCCTGGAGTGATTTTAAAAAAGCAAACACACAAAACTTCATTTGGAAACCATTTCAAAGGAATAGAGCAGCTGCATGGGTAAAATGGTTCAAAAAACAGCAGTGTCACTCTTCACCTGGTTTTGTTTTAAGTCTTTCATTTCTTCATCACATGCTTCTGTCTCCCTTTTCCTCTCCCTGGCTTGTGTGTCCATGAGATTTTTTTTCTTTTTGAAGCAGTGAAAGTAAGTTGTACCACCCTAATGCTTCAGTGACTGGTTTTGTTTTTTAATTTTTGTGGTGCTGGGAATGGAACCTAGGGTCTCAAGAATGCTAGGCGAGTGCTCTACCCCTAAGGCCCCTTCCTCACCCCAGGGACTGTTTTCTAATAGGGGCTGTGTCTTACATAACCACAGTTCATGTGTTTCAACTGAAAATGAATGGAATTTTTTTGTCTTCTTTTTCCCTCCAGCACAGGGCCAATATCACATGTTCACTTTCTCCTCATACCCTAGGGCCATTTTTTAATGTTTTGTATAATTATTTTGTATTCTTTTGCTGAACTGTCTAAATTTGGAGACTTTCAGGATGTGTCTTTGAAACAATTAAGATTGAAGTTGGGGCAGGTAAAAATTTCTGATAAACCAACAACTTTTTCTACAAATTATTTATTTTATAAGTTGATTTTGCATGTCACATTAAATTTTACTTACACATTTCACTTCTACTTTATTTGTTTATGTATTTATTTATGGTTGGACTGGGGTTTGAACCTCAGGGCTTCTTGCTTGTCAAGCAGGTACTCTACTGCTTGAGCCACACCTCCAGTTCATTTTGGAGATGAGGGTCCCGAGAACTGCTGGGGCTGGTCTCAAACCTCAGTCCTCCCAATCTAAGCCTCCCGAAGTAGCTAGGATTACAGGCACAAGCCACCAGCATGCAGCTATGTGTTCTTGATATGACAAGAATTTTTCAGTGAAGGGTATATCTGTCCATGCGTTTTACCAGCCATTTTGCATGTTTTCTGGCAATAGGCTGTGCCTATTATTCCCCTCCCCCCTTTTTTTTTAATGGGACTGGGGTTTGAACTCAGGACTTCATGCTTGCAAAGCAGACTCTGTACTGTTTGCACTACACCTCCAGTCTATTTTGCTTTGGTTATTTGGGAGATGAGGTCTGAAACTATTTTCCTGGATTGGCCTTGAACCACAGTCCTCCCGATCTCAGCCTCCCACGTAATTGGGATTACAGGCATGAGCCACCAGTGCCTGGCTCCTAATATCTCTCTTCTGAGAAATTGGGTCTCTGGCAAGAGTTGTAAGTTACGGGTCTTGTTCTGAGATCCGGTTGTTCTTGTAACTTGTCTTCTTCAGAAGATCAGCTCTCCCATCCTTTTGCTGCTAGACCATTCCTGTAGTGAACACTGGTGGCTCTAAAGTGATAGTGCTTCCTTCATTAGACTCCAGAAGGGAGTGGCATTCCGGCACAGTGATGCCTGGCCCCCGCTGTGTCCTCTGCAGACATCGTTCATTCTATTTCTTTGGATTGTAGCAAGTTTCGTTACTAGTTTGTAAGCCATACATAATAAATAGGACAAGAGGCCACCATTGCAGAGCTGGCTGGGATCCTTGCAGTGTAGGGCAAGTGCCCTTGATCCTCAGCAGGCCTGGGGTCATGTCGGCAGGCTCATCTTGGAACTGCCATCACCACTAGGGAAGATGACACTGAATCACGACTGTTGGTATAGTGTAGGCTTTACCAGCGTGTGCCTGGGAGTGAGGCTACTACTTCCTGGGCTGTTAATTAGATCCCCAGCCTCCACATCTGTAAGACACAGGCTCAGTAGCCCACTGTATGGATCTGTTGTGAGGACTGAGTGAGGGGGCAGACAAATTGCTTAGCCCCACTCCTCACACATGGAACGTGCTCAGGACACTCCAGCTCTCATGGCAGCTTTGATGCTGGTCCTATATGGGATTTAGACAAGGAAGTGGTGGTTTTATCCATGACTCTTTGTTCCCAGGCTCCTATGTGCAAGGAGACACATTGCCTGCCTGCCACTGGCCACCAAAGCTTCAGAGTCACTGTCACTGCTAAGGAGTAGCCTGCAGTGCTGACATAGGCCAGCAAATGGGATTTATAGAGGGTAGAATGTGCTGTGCAATAGTGCAGTGTCATGACTGGTACTGGTAGTGACAGAAAAGTTCATTTAGGATTTAGCAGAGATTGAAAGGTCAAGAGACTTCCTGGAAGAGGGGGCATTGGAGTTGGGCCTTGAAGGACTGGCCAACAGCTGGTATGCTGACAGCTGACTATGCCTAGCACTGCTCTGAGCATGCCAAATGCGTGATGTGGCTTGTTCTCAGCAGTCCAGAAGGCCTGTCCTGCTGTTAGCCCCTTGTGTGGTTGTCCATGGATACTGAGACCCAAAGAAGTGAGTTGCCCAAGTTACTCCAGGTCCCATACACTATCCCCTGCAAGGGCTGGCAGGGGAGTGAGAAGTGGGAACAGGCACCTCTGGATGGGAGCAGGGAAGGAATGAGAGTGAGATGGGCTCTGAGTGTGGGGAGAGCCCTGGGGAACAACAAGCAGATTTTAAACAGGTGTTCATTTTCATGAAAATCTCCAGACATAATTCCAGTAGGGGATTGTGAATCCCAAACACCCATTACTCAGTATTGAAGTTTTTGAACTGAGCCAGGTGGCACCATCCAAGTTGTATGTGGTTAAAGTCAAGTTTTGTTGCCTAAAAGGACCAATCTTTGTTTATGTAGAAAGCTTCACTTCCTGGACCACTGGTTTTCCAAGGTTCCCAGGCACTTAGGATTTCACTGTAGCAATACAATATACGAGGCTTTTGTTCTGTTAACTAAATTTTTGTTAAACTCACATTTGTGTTCCAGGTTGCTGTTGTCAAAATGAAGAGCACCGAACGAATTTATGCAATGAAAATTCTCAACAAGTGGGAGATGCTTAAGAGAGCAGAGGTGAATATGGAGTATAAAATAAATATGTAAATAAAGGTGGGATGTGTGTGAGATGAAGTAACAATGGCCTTGGGTAGACACTGCAGCCACCTCGTCAACCTGGGCCTCCGCTGTGTAGTGAGCCACTCTGCTGGCAGATTGCAGCTTTCTCCTGGCTCATTTTCCAGACCCTCTGCTTGAGTCCTCACCCTCAAGCCTACCAGCCAGGGTTTTATCTATTGCAAAGGCTAATGGAAACCTTCATGGGAGTTGTAGACATGCATTGAGGTCCTGTTCCACATGCAAAAGGATTTGCTTAGTCTGGAGCCCATTTAGGTGCAGAACTGGTTTTGTACTCCTCATAGAGGGGGTGAAGACTCTAAATGGGGGTGGCTGCTGCCTGGCAGTCTTTTTTTTTTTTTTTTATTGTTGTTTTATTATTCATATGTGCATACAAGGCTTGGGTCATTTCTCCCCCCTGCCCCCATCCCCTCCCTTACCACCCACTCTGTCCCCTCCCTCTCCCCCCCACCTCCTGGATACCTGGCAGAAACTATTTTGCCCTTATCTCTAATTTTGTTGAAGAGAGAATATAAGCAATAATAGGAAGGAACAAGGGTTTTTGCTGGTTGAGATAAGGATAGCTATACAGGGAATTGACTCACATTAATTTCCTGTGCGTGTGTGTTACCTTCTAGGTTAATTCTTTCTGATCTAACCTTTTCTCTAGTTCCTGGTCCCCTTTTCCTGTTGGCCTCAGTTGCTTTTGAGGTATCTGCTTTGGTTTCTCTGCGTTAAGGGCAACAAATGCTAGCTAATTTTTTAGGTGTCTTACCTATCCTCACCCCTCCCTTGTGTGCTCTCGCTTTTATAATGTGCTCAAAGTCCAATCTCCTTGTTGTGTTTGCCCTTGATCTAATGTCCACATATGAGGGAGAACATAGGATTTTTGGTCTTTTGGGCCTGCCTGGCAGTCTTGATCCCTTTGTTCTCACTATCCCCACCCTGCCAGCCCATGCTCAGCCTCTTTTCTCACCTACTGCTCAGCCGAGCAAAAGAGACTGCTGGACAAGCCCAGGCATTTCAGCCCTGTTCAGCTGCAGTTTCCTGCCTCCCTCAGAACCCTGTTCCTTCTGCCCCACCTCAGAACCAAGAAGTCTTCCTTGCTGGTGGACCTCCTGGCCTCACCCTCTCACAAAGAAGAAAGAATTTAAATCTTGAAATGTCCTAAGCTCAATAAAGAGGAGAGAGACTCTATTATATCACAGATCTCATTATCTTTAAACAGAGGTTCCACATGTGTGCATATTATAGCTCACTCCCCCCCCCCGCCACCTCTCTTTCTCCTCCCTCCTCCCTCCTCCCTTTCTCTCTTTATGGTACTAGGTTTTGAACTCAGCTTCACACTTGCTAGGCAGGTGCTCTATTGCTTGAGCCATGCCTCCATTCACTACCCCCCCCCTCCCCACTTAACCATACTGGCTAAAAATTAGCCTTTTCTCCCTGCACTCCCAGCCATAGGTCTCCATAGGAGCATCCAATTATCAGTATATATTGTTCATCATATATGCCAGTATTACTGTTCTTCAGTATACTCTGAATTTAGTCATGCTTCAGGTCAGTACGCAAGTGTGTCCCTGTACTGCCAATCCACGTGACTTCTCAGCAGTGGCGTAAGACCAGGTGGCTGTGACATGGGAGGAGGCTGATCTAGTAGAGGAGTCAGGCTGTGTTGTGTGGAGTCCTGTTAGGATGCTGCAGCTGAACCCACATGTGAGAGCAGGATGATTGTAAAGTGTGGGCCATAGGAATGGCCCTTGGGGAAAGAAAGGGTACTTGCCCAGGGCTCAGAAAAGGAAAAGAACAAGCTGCTTAGCCTCTTGACTCTTGCCAAGGTCATTGGGGGGTGATGGTGCATTTGGTTCCATGTGAGGTAAGAGACCAGGCTCCATGTAGTCATGAAGGCAGGTGGCACAGTCTCGAGTCACTGTCACAGCAGGGCCCCCTGGTGTTAAGGACAACTATGCTCCGGAGGATATTTCCTCTAGTGGACACAGGCTGACTGTCTTCCCCAATCTCTCACAGACTGCTTGTTTCCGAGAAGAGCGAGACGTGCTAGTGAATGGCGACTGCCAGTGGATCACAGCACTGCACTATGCCTTCCAGGATGAGAACTACCTGGTATGTCGGGGCCACAAACTCCTACAGTCTTCCTCTCATGGTTTTCATTCCTTTATACTGTAACTAAGAAATATAAGAGTGTGAAATGGACACTTTTTAAATATATGTTCAGCTAGATAATTCTGAGGGATTCATTTTGTAGTAATCAGCAGGGAGAATTTTTTTTTTAGCAATAGACTTGTGAAAGTTTGTACGTTGTTTTTCTTTTTGTTTTTTTGCAGTACTGGACTCAGAATCTTGCATGTGCTGGGCAAGCACTCTACTGCTTGAACCACATGCCCAGCCCTTTGTTTTTATTTTTTATTTTTGAGACAGGATCTCTAACTTTGCCTGAGCTGGCAAACTATTCAGCTACCACACCCGGCTTATATGTTGTTTTTCTCTAATCACTAGTTTACTGGATTACTTTTTCCCTGAGTATATTACATTTAAATGAAGAGGGGGTTTGAAACATTTTCTAACTTGAATTGCATATAAGAAAAAGATACTAGGCTTGGTATGTAGCTCAGTGGTAGAGTGCTTGTGTAGCCTATTGCCTTGGGGTCAATCCCCAGCACACAAAAAAAAAAAAAAAAGGAAAGAAAGAAACTGAGCTGGGCATGGTGGTGCACAGTTGTAATCCTAGCACTCAGGAGGCAGAGGAAGACACATTTTTGTTTTGTTTCAATTTTTTTTTTCAAAATATGAACTTATGCTGCTGTGTGAAATGTGAAACAAGTATTTCCAGGTGTCTAAATTCAGTCATGAATTAGGAACCCCAGTGAAGTGCCGTCTTCTATGGTGAGAATTCAGGATGGTAGGAGAAAGTGAGGGCATGGGAGCTTTATGGTGTAGGACTACAGGGACCTGCAGGCCCCCTGCTGTGAGCCAGGGTGTGTAGGAGGTCCCTTCTGTGTTGTGAGGGTGGAATGAGGCAGATGTGCTTTCTAGCACACTGCTGAGGTCTGTGCGAAGTGTGGGACTGAGTGTGGCTTCTATCCTGAGACTTGTCATGTTGGATACGTGGTTCCTGCTAGCACCCATGGAGCTAGTGAAGGTCATAATAGATGTCTAATTTAGAGTCTTGTAAAAATTAAACCTGTTTCACCACCAACTAAAAGGGTGTTGCCTTATTGTCCTAATTTATAATCCTACATTACATGACAGAAAAGAATTGTTATAGCTCTTATTCTATGCTGCTAAGTTTCTATGTGTCTGCCCTATGACCCCTTGCATTTACTTTTCTTATAAGCTTGTTTTCCAGGCAACTGTCAATTAAATTAGCATAATATGCATTTTGTTTTTGGGTTTTTTTAATGTTTTGTCACATTTTGTGATTGGTTCACTGCACATCAAGGTCACCTCTAAAGCTGAAGTTTTGATTTTTCTTTAAGATAGCCCTTTTTCCAAGATGCTTAGTCCAGTTGTTTTATCAGCCCCACATAGTAAGACTATGAGATGATCAGATCACACAGTAACCAGGAAAAAGCCTGGCACATACAAATGTTACAATGTTAAATTTTTAAGTATATACTGTTGTAAAGAATAGCTGTTAGAAAAGTCCTGTGGCTTGCAGTTATTTCTACTGGGTGAAACTGATTTCTACTGGGTGGTACTGTTCCCAATACTGATTGCTAACAAGGTAGCATATAGAAAACATAGAAAATTTTTTATGGTCACATCCACACAAATGAGAAACTACATTTTAAAAGCCTTGGTAATAACCAATTCTTTTTCCTTTCTCTTCCTTACCCCCAGCACCCCCCCCCCCGCCACGCACCCCTTTTTGGCAGCATTGGTGTTCTTTTTCTAATTTTTATTTATTTATTTTCTTGGCATTGGTGTCAGGGCCTTATGCTTGTTAGACAGGCATTCTACCACTTGAACCATGCCTCAGCCCTTTATGCTTTAGTTATTTTTCAGATAGGGTCTTGTACTTTTTGCCCAGGGCAATCCTCCTACCTCTGCCTCCTATATAGTTGGAATCACAGTGTAATCCACTGCTCCTGGCTTGTTCTTTGAGATGGGGTGGGTGGGGGGGTTCTTGCTAACTTTTTGCCTAGGCTGGCCTCAAACCTTCAGATCCTTCTAATCTCTGCCACCCAAGTAGTTGGGATTACAGAATGCATCACCACATCCAGCTTTGTTTTTCTTTTCAGACTTCAGGTAGACATGTAAACTGATGGAGTTCAGCTACATGTGATGCGTAGCTCCTATGACTGACTGTTCAGTACCATAGGTTCCCTCCCAACTGTGCCTATCAGCAGCTGCTGTCCTCCCTTCCTCCAGGGTATTTGTGATACCCGCCCATTGCCTCACTCTCACTACCTCTAAATACACAGCCCCTTCACCTGTCTGAACCACCTCATGGCCTCAGTAGGGAACTCAGTGGTCCCCATCATCGCCAGTGGGCCCTCCCCACAAGCTCTGACTCCCTTCCTCCTTGCTCACCAGGCTCTGATACTATCATCATGGTTCATCTCTCCAGCTGCCACATTCATTCTCCTCCCTTCTGGCCTCTTTGCACATACCCGTCAGTCTGGAACATGAGCACTGGTTGTCCCTTGGCCTCAACTCAAATGCCTTGATGGTCTGTGCTCGGTAGCCTCCTCATCACAATGCATTCTAGACGGGCTTTTTGCCTTTGGCCCTTTACACTGCTCTCCATGCTTGCTGTTGTCTGATTTCCTTCATTAATGTGAGCCCACTGAGCAGGGATCTTGTCTGGATTATACACTCCAGGGTCCCCTTCACTCAGGGGTGCCAGCAGGCTTGTTGAGAGAATGAACATGTGACCCAAAGAAGTAACTTGGCAGATGTCCACTGAGAGGCTTCTGTGTGGTGGGAGTTGGGGGAGATGTTGGAGACAGGAGAGCAGTCATCACAGAACACTGCTTTGAAGACCCTTTTGGTTGGAGAGGGGGCAGGGAATGGGCTTCAGGCTGACTTGGGGAAGGGGAGGCAGAGGTGAGAAGGCTTTGGGGAGGAGGGGACAGATAACTAAGGGGAGTCTTTCAAGCAGGACGAGAGACCTGCTGGTTAGATTTCTGTTTGAGTACAGGACCTACACACCCACACGGTCACTTTCTCAGACAGTGTTCCTTTCTTAGTGGACATTACCTGTGCAATGTTGTGTTGAAGATGGTGGCCCTGCTGTCTGTTCTAGCTCTTATCAGTTACTAGCTGGGTGACTTGGGTATGTCACCAGGGCTCCCCTGTGAAATGGGATGTGGATTGTACTTGAGGATAGGGCTGGTGTGAGAACTAACAGGTGACAGGCCTAGGTGAGGTAGCTGATGGCACAGAGCACAGTAGTCTCACAGTACATATTAGCTGTTTTTCCTTTAGGTTTATCCCCAGGCTCAGTTCACCAGACAGTGAGTGGTATTTCCTTCCTGTGTTGATGAGTTAAAAGTTAATATCCCGATGATAGTGTTCTTGTCTGAAAAAGAAATCAGCTCCTGCGGGACTGAGACCACAGTTTCCCTAGGCATTCCTAAGATTGTGTGGACCCCCAGCAGCTGAGTTGTTAACTGCCACCTGGATTCTGGCTGTGGTGGTCTTGCCTATTCTGGGTCTCTCTGACCCAGTGGGATGTCCCACTGGGTGTTCTACAGTCCCTGGGCTTCCATAGCCTGAGCCTTCTGAGTGCTGCATGGGTGAGGCCATCCTTGAGAGTAATGTTTAGGTAGGCACATCTCTTAGTCTCCAGTGGCTGGCACACAGTGGTCCTGTCACTGTCCAAATTGAAGGAATGAGCTCAAAAAATGTCTCTTCACATTGCTCCATTTTTGCAGAAGCAGGAGCTTTTCTGACTTATCTGTGGGTGAGCTCATAAATACTTCTTTCCTATTCTTGGATGACACTATCTTTCCAACAAGAGCTACTGGTGTCCTACGTGGTTTTAGATAATGCTCCTATGACACAAGGGCCTGGAGAACACAGTCCCAGAGGGTCATTGATTGTGTTCCTGCTATGGGTCACCAGCTCTTTGAGGGCTTTCTCCAGCAGCCATGCCTCCACTTGTTCTTCATCAATTAAATATATTCCTTTTTGAATTCTGCTGCCTGCAGAATTCAGTTGCAGAGCATCACTGTGCATTGGTACATTCTGTAAGGGGACATCATGGTGACAGAGGGACAGTTAAGAAGCCACTGACCCAGACTGGTGGAGTCAGATGGCTTCCAAGATGGAGGTTTGGCCTCTAATTGTCAGAGTTAGTAGTGACTAAGTAGTACATTCTCTCTACTCTCTTCCCAATTTGTAGTACTTGGTCATGGATTACTACGTGGGTGGTGATTTGCTGACACTGCTCAGTAAATTTGAAGACAAGCTTCCAGAAGACATGGCAAAATTCTACATTGGCGAAATGGTGTTGGCCATTGACTCCATCCATCAGCTACACTACGTGCACAGGTAACCACCTTCTCATGAATTATGGAAACCACATTTAACAGGTTCAAATACTCTTTGGAATTCCCAAGTCTCCCATCTAAGGGAGGCCTATAAGTGGTGAGTTTTCTCTGTGAGTGACCAAGCACAGAATGATATGTCCACAGCCGTTGTGAGCCTCAGTGCCAGATGCCCAGGAGAGGTGTCAGGCTTCCACTGCTCTGGCTGTGATGGTCTTAATCCTGACAGCTGAGCCACTTGGCCTGTCGTGTCCCTGCAGGAGCCCCTCCCCAAATGCCTGTTCCAGTCCACTGCATCTTGGCCCTCTCCTCACCCCTGCTCTTCCTGTGTCCATGCTGCCCCTCAGGGTGCCCACAGTAGGTCACCCCACACAAGGGGAGGATGGAGTGGAGGAAGAGGGAAGCAGCAGTGGGAAGGTCCTAATGGGAGGTATTGGTGGTCCTGCTGTAAAGGTGCCCTGTGGAAGGATGTGAGGCAGCCCCCCCCGTTGCCTTCCCTGCTCCCCCTGCCATGCCCCCTCTTTGCAGGGAATCTGCTCCCTCAGGACCACAGTCCTTACTTTACATCTTAATCATTCAGAGACGAAGAGATTCAGCCTGTGGTTTATTTTGTCTTTTTTTTTTTTTTTTTCAAAAACTAGTTTCACTTTTATCAAAGTAGTTTTGTGGTAACAGTTTTTATTTATTTAATAAACATTTTTTGGCAGTACTTGAGATTGAACTCAGGACCTCATGATTGCTAGGCTCTACCATTTGAGCTGTGCCCCCAGGTCTTTTTTGCTTTAGTTGTTTTTCTGATATGGTTTCATATCTTTGCCCAGGGCTGGTCTTTGGACCATTCCTCCCATCTACACCTTTTAGCTTGACTTACAGGCACACCACCATGCCCAGCTTATTTGTTGAGATGGGGTCTCACTAACTTTTTGCCTGGGCTGGCCTCAAATCTTCATCCTCCTAATCTCCACCTCCCAAGTATCTAGGATTATAGGTGTGAGCCACCTCACTCAAAGAATTCTCTCTTTTTTTTTTTTTTTGACAGTTCTGGAGTTTGAACTCAGGACCTACTCCTTGAGCCACTCCACCAGCCCTTTTTTTGTGATGGGTTTTTTTTGACATAGTGTTCCAACCTTGATCCTCCTGATCTCTGCCTCCTGAGCAGCTAGGATTATAGGCATGAGCAGCGCTGGGGTTTGAACTCAGGAACTTGTGCTTACTAGACAAAACACTTTACCACTTGAGCCACCTTATCCCCCCGACCAAGACTTTTTGGTAATAGTTTTTAAAAGTCAAGTAGTTCTACAAGGCTTATCTTTCAAACAAACACACAACAAAAAACAGTTCCAGCCCTACCCTGCCTGGATTTCTCTTAGGCAGCCAGTGTGCTAGCTGTGCTTCCTAGGTTTGCCTTCATGTTTCTAAGTAACCATCTTATGTCGCTAATTTCTTTCTTCCCTCCCTTCCTCCCTTCTTCTTTTAGATAGCATCTATTAAAATGGAAATTTAACTCTTAGAAAATCCACCCCACACCTGCACGCAAATACTCACTCTGCCCTCTCCCACATTGTCCCAATTAAATAAAGTAACTTTTGGTGGAGTCAGTATTTGGTGTTTATAATGTAATCACTGTTTAAATATTACAGCTGAGCCTTGTGGTACATGATAGTTATACTTCGTAAGTCAATTTCTGTTTTCTCTGGAGTTAATGATATCTTGGATTTCCTATTAGCTTACTTTTCTATGTAGCTGTTACTAACTATCCCCAGATATCATGGCCTTGTTATGAAGCTGTATGCATTTAGAGGGAATGGGTAGCTCGAGTGTGGTGGGGTTTTTTCCCCCTCAATGTCCTCTCCATCTTCTCTTCCTTTTTGCTTTGATTTTCTTTAATGTGGCACTCCTGCACTTGTCCTAGGAGTGCTTTTTGAGAGAAAAGCTGCCTCTCATGTCTTGAACTGGACACTGTTTACTGCGTGGTTTCCTTTTGCCAGGCTCATTCTTCGATTTGGTGGGACACCTCCTCCAGTGGTTTCTGGAGAAGGGGACTGATAGGGCCACCATCTTTATTCCATCCACATCCATTTTGGGGTTCATGCTGTGTGGTGTTTCAGGCTACAGGTCACCTTGCCCTGGAATTTTGGTGATGCAGCTCCTGTGAGGCCTTTATGGTCTCTGTTGCTTTGCTTTGCTCTTTGCTTGGTGGGTGGTGCTGGGATGGAAGTTAGGGCTTTGCGTGAGCTGAGCATCACTCTGCCCCTCTCCACCCTGCCCCTCCACAGCTCTGTAGCATCAGCTCAGCCTTTGTGGCCTGTCATGAGGCTCCCTAAGGGAGCATGGCAGCCACTCTGAAAGGAAAAGCTCTTCAGTCTTTCTGGGAGGAAGCTGAACCCAGGGGTGCCTATGCCTGAACCTATGACACTGTACTGCACTGCACTGGCCCAGTGGGCTCCAGGACATCAGGGGTACTGGTCTGTAGCAGTACAGCTGCTCCTTTAGGGCCAGGGTGTTTTGATGTTTTGTTTTTTTTTTTGCAGTTCTGGAATTTGAACTTAGAATCTCATGCTTGTTAGGCAGATGCTCTACCACTTAAGCCACACCTCCAGGCCTTTTTTCTGTTGGATATTTTTGAGATAGGGTCTCACTTCTTTTTTTTTTTTTTTTGGGGGGGGTGGCCTGGCCTGGCCTGGCCTCAAACTTCAGTCCTCCTGATCCCTGCCTCCCAAGTAGCTAGGAATATAGGCATGAGCCATTAGTACCTGGCCAGATCAGGAAGTTTTGGATGGAGCTTTTCTTTTTTCCTGTGTGCTCCTTACTGTGTGTGTACTTCTCTAAGCTATTGCAGTTCTTAGTTGTTGTGGGTTTTTTTGTTTGTTTGGTTGGTTTTTTTTTTTTTTGTGGTGCTGAGAATCAAACCCAGAACCTCAGACTGTTACTACTGAGCTATATTCCTAGCTCTTTTGATTTTATTTTGAGATAGGGTTTTTGTTGTTGTTTGAGACAGTTGCTCAGATTGGTCTTGAATTTGTGATCCTGCTGCCTCAACCACCTGAGTATCAGGGATTGCAGGCATATCTCACCATGCCTAACTATTATCATTCTTAACTTTTAGATTTTATACTCTGTCCCAGTGATAAAATGTTGCCTAATTCAGAGTGAAGAGATAAGCATCCTTGTATTTGTCACAGGTCTTCAGGGAAATGAACTTAACCACCTTTTTAGTGGTTTATTCTTTTCTTGTTTTCTCCTAATTAGAAAATCTCCTCATTTTCTTAATTGACCATGGAGAAGCTCTGCTGTCTTTTAACCTTCAGGCATAGTAGGCATGGAATTATGTAATACAAACCCTTTTTCCTCTCAATCTCACACTATTCAGATTAAGTACAGGGATGACCCAGTCTAAAGTGGAACAAAGTCCAATTGTATAAGAAGCCAGTTTTCCCCCAGTCTCAGGCATGTTGTGGTGAAGTTGAAAACTTCATTTAGTGGGCTAAGGAGTAGCTTGGTTTTCCAGGCATGTGAATAGTTGCACTGTGAACTCATCAGCAAGTGGGCCCCACTACTGAGTGAAGTAAGCAGTGGGAAGCTGGGACCCAGGAGCACCCAGGCAGGTGTGTGCTCCCTTTCCTCAGAGGTCAGCCCCAGGAGTACTGGAAAAGCAGAGACAAGAGTGACAGATTCACTGAGTTTGGGAACATGGAACATGTTGTACAAAGGAGAACAACAGGGTACAAATTAGTAAGGGGATATTCAATGAACAAAAAGGGCCTTAGAAAACAAAATAATGAAAACTAGAAAATGAAGTAGAGGAAATTCAACTAAAATCGGAAACTGGAGTGAAAGGTAATGTGGTCAGAGTGGCTGTGGTGCTTCCTCCAGGGGGTAGCAGACTAGATGCTGAAGCCCATCCTGGGTGGCACTTGGCACCCACACCTACTGTGGAAATCAGACCCAGAACCTCCACAAGATACAGATTTGACTATTACTCAAATGGGATGAGAAGCCCTGCTCTCCAACCACCTTATTTTTGAGATAAGGTCTAGCTCTGTAGCTCAGTCTGCCTGGAACTCATGATCCTCCTGCCTCAGCCTCCTGAGTGCTGGAATTATAGGTATTTGACATCATGCTCAACTCAGGTCTCCCTTTTCAATGTATCAGAGGAAGAACTTAAAAGCAAAACCCATACAAATATTGAGAAATGACCATATAAAAATATATGTAAAGACATTTATAATTTTTTGTGATACTGGGTATTATGCTTGCTATGAAAGTGCTCTACCACTTGAGCTATAACCCTAGCCCTTTTGTTTTGCTTTATTTGTTTATTTAATTCAGAACAAGTCTGTCATGGCTATATTAAAATCAAGCAAAGTAGACGTCAAAGAATTGACAGGATGGTCACATGTTGTGGTAGAGATCAGGAGGATCATGGTTTGAGGCCAGCCTGGTCAAAAAGTGTTGAGATTGCTATCTCAATCAATAAGCCCAGAGCAGTGGTGCACAACTATTCAGGAGGCTGTAGGTAGGAGGATCTTCATCTGAGGGCAAAATCGTGAGACCTAAGGGCTGGTGGAATGCCTCAAGTGGTAGAGTGCCTGCCTAGCAAATTCAAGGCCCTGAGTTCAAATCTCAGTACTGAAAAAATTTTAAAAATTGACAGGATGAAGGAGACACTGCATATTGACAAAGAGGGTCAGTTTACATGATGACATAACAATTCTAAAATATGTTTGCCCAATTACAAAGCCTTAAAATACATGAGACAAGAAGTAAATCTGAAAGAAGAGGTTTGCTTACAAGATGTCTCCCTGTCGTTCTCATTGTTGTTCTCATTGAATGGATGAATCCCAGTGTATTCATCCATTCTCCTGCAAAATGGATGGTTCCTGCCTGGCTGTTTCAAGTAGTGCTGCTGGGAACAGACTGAAACATACCTTGCTGGACATCTGGCCTTGCTTTGAGAATCAGTTGAGCCTATAAGCTTACTGTGCTGAAAGGAGGGGGAGTGCTGTGGTCGCTCCCCCTGCCTCCCAACAGCTGACAAAATGGCCTTGAGCAGCCAAATGTGCGATGTCTGCTGCACTACTTGCTACAGCTGTAGCTGTGTTCAGTTGCTCAGCCATGGTGAGCCTGCAGCATTTGGTCCCAAGTCTTCCTCAGTTCCGTGCTCCTCAGTATGTAATTCTTTGGCACTTTGCATAGACACTGCACTGTGCGATGCAGTGTGTGATGACATGAGATGAGACTGCACATTGACACATTGCATGTTCGTTTTCTGACCCTTGGCTAGTTGCAAGCCTCACGAAGGCAGGGGTAGTGCTGTCTGGGTCCCAAGGTCTATGCAGAAGGTATGAGGTGGATGGAGTAACAGTGCTGCCTCATGGGTCAAGTGAGATTAAATGAGCAACCATTCCTGCTGAAGCACACATGGAGGTGCTTTACTCAGATGTCACAGTTGTTCTGGGAATGATGGTGGCATTTCCACAGTGAACCCACTGGCAAGGGCTTTGACCTACTCAGTGTGTTGCATGGAGATGGTTAACTTAATTTATTTATTTTACTAACAGAGATATTAAACCTGATAATGTCCTTTTGGATGTGAATGGTCATATCCGCCTGGCCGACTTTGGATCGTGTTTGAAGATGAATGATGATGGAACTGTAGGTATCTTTTTGGAGATTTTCCATTTGATTTTGGGTTTGATTTATAGTTAGAAAGAGGTTAAGTGAGACACGTGTAGATTAAGAAAAGAAATCCATTTAGGAGACAATAGAATTCCCTATTTAGGGAATATTTTTGGAAGTTTAAAGGTGTCTTTTTGTTTTTATGTTGACACAAGTCATGTGTATGCCTTCAGGGGAGTTGTCAGGCTCCTCAGACCCCTAGGCCAATAAAGCACAACAGCATTGCAGCATGTAAGAGGAGCTCCACTCCTGTCCTTCCTTGAAAAACCTTGTCCTGCTGCAGGGGAGGGGGTGGTGGTCACAGCCCTGTAGCTGTATCCCTACTGTGCTTGGCAGGTAGGTAGCTTCCTGCCAGTCAGGCTTGCTCTCATGAATGTTGCAGGTTTAGAAACAGAGCTTCTTGTACACAAGACGTTGTGAGCACCAGCTGACTCTCCCACTGCCAAACGGGAGGTTACCTGTCTCTGCCTGGACCCCAAGTCAGACCAGTATAGTGGCCAGGTGGCCTGTGGATGGTTGTCCCAACTCCATTCACCATCTAGTCACTTCAGTGCTTTATTGCACTAGGAAGCCATCTGCATTCTGCCCTATGGCCACAGTTATCACTTCACTCTTGTATGTTTGAGAGGCTTTTCTCCTTTACAGCCTATACTTAAAGTGTAATATAAAATGCTTCCAAAAGCCATCAGCCTGAACTTTTCCTACTAGTGTGTTTTCAGGTAGCTCTACAGCTGGCACCAGCTGACTGTGCGGTACAGGATGCGGAGCCATTGGCTCCCTCCCTCTCCACAAGCCGGTCTTTCCTGTTATTAGAAGTCTTGACCACCTGATGACTAGTCGTTAGGTTGGTGCTGTCCTCAAATCCAGACTCCTAGTGACTATAGTGGTGTCTTTAGTTACCCTCATGCACATCACCCCATCATAGCAAGTGTTTGTTTACCCTAAGGAGCCACTAATATGCCCAGCCATCAGGCCACTCACGATGGAGCTCCTGCAAGCTAGGTGACATACTGTACAGAGCAGTAACTGTTGCACGAGGCTTGCGGAATTCCTGCTGTTCTTTCAGACTAGAGTTCTCACCTCTAGTGAGCCTGGGGTGACCCCAGGTGCCTTTTCCAGAGGTGACCCAAGAGAGTCTGGCCTCTCTCCAGACATGCCTGTGATTGCTGCCCTGGTTCCTACCTGAGCCTGTCTTACAGACACAGCAACTTCGGTGACCCCTGCTCTCCTTGTATCCTGTCTCACGTTAGCCATTCCCCTCCGCTCTTGCTTTCCTGTGATGATTGGTACTTGCTGATGGCAGCTTTTGTGAGAGGTGCCACTGCATTTATGCACAGAGAATCTTTCTCTCTCCAAAGGTGGTGGTTACTACTCTCCAGGGCCCCTGTCCAAAAAATGCTTGAGCACCCAGATAATGCCTGGACAAATTTGCCTGTGTTCCTCCTCAGAGGCACAGAGCAGGCTGCATGCTGAGCAGCCTTAGCATTCCCTTTTTGAAATGCAACTTCCAGGCAAGACACCTCCTACACACACACCATCTCTGTTCTAGCAAGGGACTTCTTAACAAGGATCTTTGCTGATCTGGACACATAGGGTCCCTGGACACTGGGAACAGGGACAGAGGGTGTCTGAATGCTGCCTCTGGGGCCAGAGAAATTGCCACTTGGGGCTGTGGAGGTTATTAGGTCTTGAGAGACCATTTATGCAGGGTCTTGGGCATCCAGGGAACTGTACAGTGTTTATTGCTGCAAGACAGTATTCATCTGCACTGAATTTGAATTATTAGGTGTTTTTTGTTTGTTTGTTTTTGAGATAGGGTCTCCCTGTATAGTCCAGGCTTGTCTCAAACTCATGATCTTTCTGCCTCAGCCTCCTGAATGTTGGGATTGCAGACATGTGCCACCATACTGCAGTGCATACTGCAATTATTAGGTCTTTAAGTCCTTATCATTCACTACTTTTAATTCATTTTTTGTTGCTGCTAGATTTTAGAGAAAGTGGTTAGAAATACGCAGTTAGAGATGCTATGGGGTTTTCCTTAAACATCTCTTCCTCCCCAAGGTTCAGTCCTCTGTGGCTGTGGGCACACCTGACTACATCTCACCGGAGATCCTGCAGGCCATGGAAGATGGCATGGGCAAATATGGGCCTGAATGTGACTGGTGGTCCCTAGGCGTCTGCATGTATGAGATGCTCTATGGAGAAACGCCATTTTATGCAGAGTCACTGGTGGAGACCTACGGGAAGATCATGAACCATGAAGTAAGACATCACATTCCCATGTCCTATACTTTTCAAGTACCTGGCAGAATCCTAGAGGGAGGGAGGCAAATGCAAAAGCTGATGGAGTTTAGGCCTGGTGGGGCAGAGAGGACGAGAAGAGACGGAAGAGTATAGGGTGCAGTCACCGCAGATGCTGACATTGGAGATGCGGGCCTGAGGGGAAGGGAAGCTCAAGGTGGTTTCTAGTATCTGATGGAGGGGTGAGGGGCTGGCATTTTCTGGGCTCAGACTCCCTCGAGGAGAAGCGAATTTCTGTGGAAAGACCTGGTGTCTGCATGACTGTGTGAAGCATGAGGAACCTGGGATGGTGTGAGGTGGTGGTCCATGTGGGAACCTTGGTGTGTACCTCTAGATCATTGGTTAGATGCCAGTTGCTTCTCAGGTCTGTTCTCAGAGGTCAGCCACCATAAGTGATCACAGGATGTCCCCACATAGGGGAGCCCTTAACCCTGCCTGGTCCTATTTCTTGTCTCTTTTCCTTTCTGTGCATTCTTTACTTTTATATTGTCTTCCCTATTTTCCTTGTTATTTCCTCCTTTTAATTTTTCATCTTTATTTTTCTTAGGCATGTAATTCCTCTCTCCCTCCCTTCCTTCTTTCCACCTACCTACCTACACTCTTACCTTTTTTTTCACTGAGGTTTGAACCCAGGGCCTTGCACATGCTAAGCAGACTCTCTACTACTGATTTTCACCTCCATCTCCTCCAGTACATTTTTCTAATGCCAGTTTCGCCCTCTCTAGCAGTATACATGTAGCATCCTTTTTTCTTGCCTGCTTGCACACTCTCTTGCACACGTGGACACGCACACTCTTGAACATACATGTGCCCCCAAACACATCCCAGAAATCTCGAAGTTAAGTGCTGACCCATCCTCTAGTTAGTTTCCCCCCAGTAATTTCTTATATGGGGAGCAGATTAAAATGAAAGCTGTAAATGGGTTTATATTTAACTCTGAATCAAAGCAAAAACTATATATAAACATTTTCCCCAAAGTGGAAATAGATTTTCCATTTATAAATTAGCACTTTCTATGACGATGTCCTACGATGCGCAGCGCATGCAGTAGATTGCGAACCCTCCTACACGCGTCTCAGTGATAGATGCTGAGATGGTAACAGTGAGGACTTAGTAGGTGCTAAGTCTTGTTACTGAGTACTGGCCACCTGTGGGGCACAGGCCAGGTGCTTTTTATGTACTCACTTATTTAATCTTCTAACAGCCCCGTGAAGTAGGTAGTATATATTGTTCCTTTGTGTAGATGACACAAGTGAGGCCTTGACCCTGCATGGTGGCTAAGAACTCAGGCCCACTCCATTATACAGAAGGGGTTTGTGTGTGTGTTTACACATCACATTACATACAAAGGAGGATTGTAGATACATTTATTTTTGGCATCTTTCTGTATCAACACACAGATACTTTTCTCCTGTGAATATATGTATATATTCATATATTCTGTATCTCTTTTTTGGGGGTGGAGGGAATGGCACCTAGGGTTAAACTCAGTGTTTGCTAGGCAAGCACTCTACCACTGGAACAACACCATGATCCCTTTTTATGTTGGTTATTTTTGAGATAGGTTCTCACCTTAACCCTAGGCTGATGTGGACCTTGATCTTCCTGTTTGTGCTTTCCTGTATAACTTGGAAGACAGGCATGCACCCTCATGTCCAGGTTGAGATGGAGTGTCATGAACATTTTTGCCCAGACTGGCCTCAATCTGTGATCCTCCCAACCTCCTCCTCCCAAGTAGATAGGATTATAGGTTTGAGGCACCATGCTCAGCCTTCTATATTTTTTAAAAAACGAGTTCCCTTTTGATGAGAATTTAGATAACTGCCATTTTCTTTGTCAAGATCTAATGTAATCATGAACATACTATAGACTCAGCTTCTGGACATGGACTTGCCCCAGATGCTGGCCGAATGTACTGTGAGAGGCCTGTCCATACTCTTTGCCCCTTTGATAGACAAAAATCTATCATTGTTGTAATGTACAAGCAATGTGGTGACAAATCAGTTGTGAATAAATCCAGAGAGATTAATGATTTTCTTGTTTGCCTTTCTTGAGTTAATATTCACTAGCTTTGGTTTACATTTGGTTACCATGAAATAAGGACGGTTACTTTGAAAGGAGCTGTTTTTTTTTCCATACTGTCTATACATGTTAGAGTTCTCTGACTTATGTCCTGTTGTCTGCTACTATTTGCCTCCACCCAGGAGCGATTTCAGTTCCCTTCCCATGTCACAGATGTCTCTGAAGAAGCCAAAGACCTTATTCAGAGATTAATCTGCAGCAGAGAACGCCGGCTAGGGCAGAATGGAATTGAAGACTTCAAAAAACATGCATTTTTTGAAGGTCTGAATTGGGAAAATATACGAAACCTAGAAGCACCTTATATTCCTGATGTGAGCAGTCCTTCTGACACATCCAACTTCGACGTGGATGATGATGTACTAAGAAATATTGTAAGTGTCCCTTGTTCTCGCTGTTGCTTCCCTGTGGGTCTGACAGCCAGCATTGTTAGAGCAAAGGTGTTGCTTGGCAAGTTAGTAAGTTGCAGAACTGTTCTGATTCTTGATGGATTGGCAGTTGCCGTAATGTGTACTCTAGCCTTCAGCTTGGTCCCTCATGTTCCTTTAGAAAGCACTGAGTAAAGTCATGCTCTTATGCTCTGGAACTCATCCAAAGTCTCTGCAGTTATTTCATCATGCATTCTACCTTTTCAGGTATTACTGCATGCATTTTGTATGAAAGATTCATTGCAGCCCTGTTGCCCATACTCCATAGGTGGAGTTGGGGCTTGGTTTCTGGCCAAGAGCACACAGGCCACATTTGTTTCTTTATGCAACAGGAGTTTAGAGCAATGACAGCAATAATAGATTTTGAGTTTGACCCTTGGTCCTTCCTATTACTGCTTATACTCTCTCTTCAACAAAATTAGAGATAAGGGCAAAATAGTTTCTCCCTGCTAGCGAGGGGTAAGGGAGTGGGGGGGTGGGGGTAAGGGAGGGGAAAGGGGGAGAAATGACCCAAACATTGTATGCACATATGAATAAAATAAAAATTAAAAAAAAAAAAAGATTTTGAGTTTGAAAGTCATGGGTTTCTACACTGGGTCTTGACTAGACTGTTGCCCAAATGCACAAGCCAGTACCTTTCACCATGGGAAATTTGTTTATATATATGTGCATCTCACACACACACGTGCTCTTGGCTAGAAACCAATGTAATTATGGAAGTAGGGTCTCACGAACTATTTGCCCTGACTGGCCTCAAAGTGCAATCCTCCTGATTTTAGCCTCCCAAGTAGCTAGGATTACAGGCATGAACCACCAGTGCCCAGCTCATTTTATTTTTTTATTAAAGAAAGATCCTCCACCTAAAAAATAGAGTTGAAATAAATTTATCTGTAATAGGCTACCTTTGGGTTCCGGAGCACTTTTATTTTTCAGGCTAAGAACCCGAGAGCCCCAGCATGCTCCATGTCACCACAGGGCTGCATATATACACACTGATGGTCTTTAAACACATTTATGGCTTTAAAAAGTTTGACTGCTGGGATGTAGCTCAGTAGTAGAGTGCTTGCCTGTCATGTGTAAGGCCTTGGATTTTATTCTTAGCACCACACACAAAAAACTTTGGAAAATCACTAGCCTAATCCAAGTTTGGCATCACAGTTAGTGCATCTATCCTCTTAACTACATTGTATGTATGATGAATAAGCCATGTGTGAGAAATACACATCTGCTGGTGTCAGGCTCTCTTGTAGACCCTACTATGGAATGCACGTTTCAGACCACCCAATTCTGCCCAGCGCACTCTTGCCCGCCCTTACTATAGCATTCATTTTTCTTTCTGTGTGTTTGAATGTAGATTTCACTTGTGTCATTTGTGTTCTTATGCAGGAAATATTACCTCCTGGCTCTCACACGGGCTTCTCTGGATTGCATTTGCCTTTCATCGGTTTCACGTTTACAACAGAAAGGTGTGTCTGAGTTTATCCTTCCTTAGCATCCTGGTGAGATGCACAGTTGGGAGTGGGCTTCTGTCATGTTTGTGGAGCCAAGAGGGCTGTAAGGATATTACTTGAGTACTTTTTTGTCCTTCAGAATGCACACTTGATTACTGCAGGTGTGTATCAGGATTGGCTGATTTGTTCTATAAAGGGCAAAATAATAAATACCGTCCTGTACCGCATCACAGTGTTTGCGTCCATGACAGACCACATACTCCATCTGTGATTGCACAGTGGAGCTGAAAAAGTCCTAGTGCCTAGTGATGCATGGCCCTTATAAAGTATGAGTAAAGTAGCACAGCTCTTTTAGTCACGTGTTTGTGATGGTGCAGGTGTAAACACACCTTCTGCACTGCCAGGCATACAAAAGTAAGCACATATTGTGCACAATACTTCATACTGATAGTAAATGACTGTGTTACTAGTTAGGTACTTACTGTACTGTACCCTACTGCATTGTGGTGTGTACTTCTACTTATCAAAAGAAAACTCGCTGTACAACAGTCTGCTCCAGCGCACTGGCTGCAGCCTTGCACAGCCAACTGGTGTGAGCCCTGTCTCTGATGGCATCTTTCTCCTTGTACTTGATTTACACTCATGTTGTGAAAGTACACCCTGATAAAGTTTGCACAACACAGTCACCTAACAACACATTGCAAAGAATATGTCCCTGTTGTTAAGTGACACATGGCTATAATTTAGGTTTTGTGGTCTCTGTTGAACATTCTCCTTTCACCACCCTTTAAAAACAAAAACCATTCGTAGCTCATGAATGATACAAGAGTAGTCGACGGGTGGGATTTGGTCCACAGGCTGTAGTTTGCTAACTGCTGCCCTATTGGCCATTAATGCTGGCAAGATTTATTCTGACAAAGTCAGTGGCCACAGCAAGTTCTCACTCACGCTCAGCTGAGAGCCATTCCCCTTGAGAGCACTCAGCTTGCTTTTGAAAGGACTGTGGCTCTACTCGTATCTCCCATCAGTGGGTCCAGAATATAGTCTCCGCTGCTGTGTGACTTCTGCAGCACCAAGAGTACCCACCCATATGTGGCGCAAGTCTTACAAGTGCCAGGATGGCGTTCGTGTCTGTCACCTCTGTTCTCAGTGGGCCTCTACTATTGACTGAGATATTCTGACCCAATTTTAAAAGGAAGCTGATAAGATGAAGTTGTTCAGAAAGGACTCTTCTGCTCAAGCTGTTGGGACGTCTCTGTAGGTGTGAGGTGCAAGGTGCCCAGTACGCACGCTAGTGATAGCTGACGCCCTCTCCCCACGGAGTCATTCCAGGTGGACATGTTGACTTAGTGCTCTCACCAGTAGACTCTTAGTCTTCCTGGTACATCCCAGCTTACTGAGTGTTGGTCATACTTGCAGGTCCTGGGTCTGCCTGCCAAATTGGAATTTGCAGGATGGACCTAAGGCTTTCCTCCCTTGCTAGATGCCCCTGCAGAAACACTGGTCAGTTTATATTTTATAACAGATAATGTGTGCCCTGTGCTGTTACCAGGTTCAGCATAGGATATCAGAAACATATTCCTGATGTCACATCTCATAATAGCTAAGCAGAACTGAATAACAAATGCAACTGTCCAAGAATTGTCACTGTTCAGTGATAGAACCATGTAGTGCTTCTATCTGGGCAAAGAATGGTCCCCACACACACATGTACATGGTGATGAGGTGACTGGTCCTCAGCCGTGCTGGCCAAAGTCCTGCTATGGACTGTTCAGTCTGCAGGACAAAAAGATAAACCCAAAAGGGTTGACAGTGCTCCACGTGGCACAGATAGTAAGTGGCAGAACCAGGAAGCCCTCGATGACCTGCACTACCCTGGTCACCCAACCAGGGAGCCATTGGATCCTGCTGCTCCAGGAGTCCAGCTCATTAGACAAGAGGCCTTGTTTCTGTTTTTCTAATTAAGTGTGAGTGATGACTTGGAATTAGCTTCCCACCCTCGCAGAGGCCTGTGGGGTTTTCCCTCATCTAGCTCTGAGGTGTGTCCTTTTCAAGGCATCTGCAGTGAGGAGGGCTCTTGTCTAGCTTTGGCTCCATGTACAATGAAGTCTTTTCACAGGTATTTTGTTTGCCACTTTATAAAGACTATCTCTCACCCCAGGAAGTCTTTAAATGCTAATGAAATCACAGTTGGGTCTCAGTAGATGAGAAAACCTGTTGCTTTGTTTCCCAGCTGTTTTTCTGACCGAGGCTCTCTGAAGAGCATGATGCAGTCTAACACACTAACCAAAGATGAAGATGTGCAGCGGGATTTGGAGAACAGCTTACAGATTGAAGCTTATGAGAGAAGGATACGAAGACTGGAGCAGGAGAAGCTGGAGCTGAGCCGGAAGCTGCAGGGTGAGTGCCTGGGGAGGCCTGGCGCAGGCTGCGGGGGCTGCCTTGAAAGCATGCACGACTGGCTATGCTCACACTGTGTTTCCCTCAGAGTCCACCCAGACTGTGCAGTCCCTTCATGGTTCCACACGGACCTTAGGCAACTCAAACCGAGACAAAGAAATCAAGAGGTTAAATGAAGAAATAGAACATTTAAAGAATAAAATGGCAGGTAAGTATTCTCAAAGGTACCTACTCAGTCTTTGTTCTTGGACAGTAAATCTCTTAAAAGGAAATTTTCAGAGTTGTTTTCATAAGGTAGAAAAGCAGAGAAAAGCTCAAGCTTGCCAACCTATTTAGAATTGTGGCATTTTGCCTGTATGTCTAAAATTACTTTCCCGCTTGCTTAGTTCTAAAGTTACCAACTACAGTCAATTCCTTATGCTTTCTCCATATACTCTTCTCTGTGTAGTTCTTGCATCAGCAGCCATGCCTGTTTTTCAGTGTTTTAGGCACTGGGCCTTCCGTCACCACCTTCTTTGTGGTTCCTGGTTGTTAAAGCTTCCTGAAGATTCAGCTCACTTCTAAGCCGTAGCACTTAACTCCACATGGGCTGGTTCTGTTGTCAACCCACATCTCCAAATCATACATGGGGCCTGTCCTTGTTTCTCATTTCCCATGGGAACCCCACCACCCTGATCCAGAAAAAGGCTTGGCTTGAGTTGATTATCCACTTAGACTCTTATTGTCTAAACTGAGCTGGTGACACAGTTTACAGGGACTGAAGTAGATGGGCATATGTGTCCAACGCTCACAGTCCTTGGGGGCCAGTGATCTGAATGAAGCATAAACAGAGTGCTGAAGGCATGGCTCAAATGGTAGAGTGCCTGCCTAACAAGCGTAGGGCCTGAATTCAACCCTCAGTACTACCACAAAAAAAAAAAAAAAGTCTTTCAATGAAAAAGACATTGTGAATTGGTGGATCATTTCCTATCAGTAAGTCAGTTGGCATCAGAAGTCACTGCATAGAAGGAACACAGTTCATTTCTCTTCTGTTCAGATTCAAACAAGCTCGAGCGACAGCTGGAGGATACAGTAACACTTCGCCAGGAGCATGAGGACTCCACACACCGGCTAAAGGGCCTAGAAAAACAGTACCGCCTGGTGCGTCAGGAGAAGGAGGACCTGCACAAGGTAGTGTGGTTAGCCTATGGGAAGCTGGGTGAATTTGCAGTTTCCTTCAGCTGAGCTTTCCCAGATGCTTACACACCTCCTCAGGGCCCTCAGCATGGACCCCTGTGTTGCATGCAGATGGGTCCCTGCTGCTCCCAGCTGCTGCCCAGTCCCCAGTGTTGGCAGCAATGCTTGGGCTCTCAGGGCACCTGTGAACTTATGTGTCCTGGCTGTGTCTGGCACCTACTTTGTAGTCATCATCTTCTGTCTGCAACCCCAACCATGCAGAATGAGCAGTATCTCATCCCACTCTGAGTGAGCTGGATGAACATACCAGAGGCCTTCACCTTCCCTCTGCATTACACCCCTGTGTGGTGCTTCTGCCACCTTCTCTGAAGTAACTTCTCAGTTACATCAGGGAGCTGCAAAAGCAGTAGTATGTTCTGCTGGGTGCAATGGCTCACATCTGTAATCCCAGATACTTGGGAGGCAGAGATCAGAAGTATTGAGACTTGAGGTCAGCCCACGCAAGAATTAGCAAGACCCCCATTTCAACATGACTGGCATGATAGCACAAAAGCTCCTGTTAGCCAAGCTTCAAGAGAAGTGTAAATGGGAGGACCATGGTCCAAACCGGCCCCGGGCAAAACTGCAAAACCCTGTTAGAAAAGCAGCTAAGGCAAAAAGGGATGGGGGAGTGGCTCAAGTTGTAGAGCACCTGCCTAACAAGCATGAGGCCATATGTTCAAACTCCAGTGCCCTTCCACCAAATTAAAAATAGTAATAAAAAAGAGGTGATGTGTTCTACTAGGCACAATCCCCCCAGAATGCCTTTGTAAGTTTGATTCCAGTGGGCTTTGTCAAACTTTATGCTCAACACCAATATGTTAATGCACCAGGTTTTCTAAAATTCCTTTGTACGTCTAAGTTCTTGAACCTTTTGATTGTTACCAGTTTTCTAGAATACACAAGATATCAAGCCCGAGTTATTTCTTAAGTTCATTTGTGGTGTTTTAATACTCGTAAGTTGTCTAGGTGCATTGTGGTTACAGTAATACCTGAACTGGTCCAGAGAGGCCTGGGATGTCCTCCCCACCTTACTGCAGAGCTGCCTTGTTCTAGATTGTGTTTCTGCCAGCCTCAGACCAACAGGTGCAACAGTGACTGAACAACCAGATTTTTGACCTGCTGTGGGGAGGTAGGGCTATCAGCACAGACAGTGGCAGTGGGTCTGTCAGCACCAGTCACAGCAAGGCACGGTTATGACTTCCATTCAGAGGGATGACTTGGGAATTCATACCTTAAACTCTAGTGAATTATTTTTATGCTGTTCTTCACTTTGACTTAAATCTGAAGCATTTTCATAAACAGTAATGGGCTATATAACTTTTGGGTCAATGGTAGACTACATGTATAGTGATGGTCCCATAAAATTATATCTCCTAGTGATGTCATAGCCATCTTAGTTTGTGAAAGCTCACTCCATGGAGTTCACACAATGAAATCACCTACCAGCACATTTCTTAGAGCCTGTTCTAGTCACTCAGTGAGTGATGCATAACTCTGTGTGCTCTTTCCTGGGTCTGCTGTGCCTCAGTAATTGAGTGCCTGAGTTCATTTTTCATCCACCTTTGTGATGTGTAGATGACTTTGGGAGGAAGTAGAGATATCCTGGGAGCCAGTTGCTCTATGAGGTGTGGTGTGTGGACTTGGGGCTCAGCATCTGGGCCCAGTGAACTTCTTCTAGGCTGCCTATGTGACTGGAGGGACAGAGCAAGGGATTTTTTTCCAAGAAGGCAGGTTCTTGGATGACTACATGGCTGTAATCTGTAACCAGCATTTACATCACTTTTACCTCTTTTAATACAACAGAAGACAGCTTACGGCTTTCTAGATCTTTGCTAAGCGAATGTAAAACCTCATACTTCTTTCCCTTTCAGCAATTGGTTGAAGCTTCGGAGCGATTGAAATCCCAGACCAAAGAACTCAAAGATGCCCATCAGCAGCGAAAGCGGGCCCTGCAGGAATTCTCCGAGCTCAATGAGCGCATGGCAGAGCTCCGCTCCCAGAAGCAGAAGGTGTCCCGGCAGCTGCGGGACAAAGAGGAGGAGATGGAGGTGGCCATGCAGAAAATTGACTCCATGCGGCAGGATATCCGCAAATCCGAGAAGTTCAGGAAGGAGGTACTTTTTTAGATGTTTGAAAGATTTTATTTACTGGACTTTGGTGTGATCTTAATAAAACATCTTTGAAAGCCTCGATTGCCTTACCTAAATTACCGTAAGTGGATCTTAAATTTTATATGAAGTCAAATAAGTTGAACTGCCAGGCATTTATTTTGTAGTTCTTATTCCTCACTGTTTGTGAAATTATTATTATAATTTATTTTTGCAATTCTGTGGATAGAACCCAGAACCTCACACATTGTAGGCAAGTGCTCTACCACTGAGCCATATCCCAGCCGATATTTGTGAAATTCTTAGAAGAGATTCCTGTAGTGCTAATTTTTAAAAATTCCATCTTTAAGTAACATCTTAAATGATATTCTTTTCATGATGTGGCATGTAGTCAGTGAATATGTACCCTGTAGCCCATCCAGAAGAGATGGGAAATGGAAACACACCAGTCTCCTATCCCTGGAGTTTATGAGTTTCAAACCTTTTGGTCTCAGCACTCCTTTTATACTCTTGAAAATTATCAAGGGCCCCAAAGAGCTTTTATTGAAGTAGGTTATTACCTTACGTAGAAATGTTAAAAGAATTTTTCAATACAGTGATAAACCCATCACACGTTAACGTAAATCACACTTTTCTGAAAAGTAACTATTTAAGAAATTTAATGAGCAGGGAGACTTTTTTTGTTAACATTTGTATACTTTCTTTTGACATCTAGCAAAATAGAAAACACCTGGATTCTCTTACCTACACAGTTTGGATTAAGTATATGAAAAAAGCCTGGTGCCCATTGATAGCTATTTAGAAAGGAAGGGACCTCTGGACAAGGTTTCAGGACCCCAGGCACCCTTAGTGTCCACTGGGAGCACTGCTTTCCTGGTATCCTCAATGCTCTGCTGTTAGCAAGTGATATATTTTAAGCAATGCTTAATTTTGAGTTTTAAAATTTAGTTGATGAACCTATGAACTTGGGAAGCCTGGGTGTGCATGCTCTTGTTGCTTCCAGTTCAGGCTTTGTGTCATTTAGCCTCTAAAGACCTATTTGTTTTTTTCTTAGACTGTCTATTTTGCAACCCAAATATATATACAGCTGTAGTCAACTGTAGCTCAAGTTAGTGAAACCCTAACTTATGGGTGAAATGATATGATGCCAGGCTTTTCTTTAAAATAACCTGCAAATAGGCACGTGGAGAAAACAGACTTGGCCTTCAACAAGTTGCCACCTTTCAAGGCTGCACGGGTACATGGGGCTCTTGTTACTCTCTATTTTTGAGAATGTTTTAAACTTTGATTAAAAAGATGAATCATGGCTGGGTGCTGGTGGTTCATGTCTATAATCCTGTCGACTCAGGAGTCATGTTCTACACATGTCAGAATTACTTGTTGTCTATTGGGGATGTGGCTCTGTGGCAAGAGTACTTGCCTTACATCTGCAACACCCCTAGGTTCCATCCCCAACACCAAAAAAAAAGAACTACTTGTTTTCACAAATCAGTATCCTTTCTTAAAATGTACTCTGAAATTAACCTGTTTAAGGTAGAATTTAAGCTTGTTTTATGAATACCCAGCCATTGCAGTTCGAGTAGCCCTTAGCCTTTAGCTTGAGTGGATGTGTGTAAAGACCATTCCACGCTCTGTTCCCTGAGTGGCCCTTCAGAGGGGATCTGACTATAGCAGAGGGGCTTGTTCTGCATTCATCAAAAGCGAGTTTTGCTTTTTTCTAGCTGGAAGCTCAGCTGGAGGATGCCATGGCTGAGGCCTCAAAGGAGCGCAAGCTTCGTGAGCATAGTGAGAGCTTCTGCAAGCAGATGGAGAGCGAGCTTGAGGCCCTCAAGGTAATACTGATGGAAAGCTACTGCTTGCTGGTGGGCTGTGGGGGACACCATCTATTTAACATGCTTTTTTGGGCCCAACATCACCCAGGCAACCTGAGACAGGATGCAGGGTGTGGGGAGGTGGGGGACATGGCCACTGCCTTTGCAACAGCTTTCATTTTTAAAAGCCAAGTTCATTTCTTCCCTTCCTATGTAAAAGTTTTAGGTGTGTATAGTAAGTCATGGTAAACTAGTAGCTGATACTTTCTTCATATCCTGGTTTTCTAAACTTGGCCAAGTCCAGTTCTGGAAAAGCCCCCGAAAGCCCACAACCTGCTGCTGACAGTGGCAGAGACAGGCTTGTCCACCCAGAGCCAGCCAATGGGCCAGAGGCCGAGAGGAAAGAGCAGAGGAGGCTATAGTGTAGGGCACAGGCCAGGAACCAGTGTCTGCTTAGTAGTTTGATGTGATCTCAGATGAGTGACTTCCTTCTTCTGAGCCTGGGCTTCCATATCTGTGGCATGAATATATTGGGTCTCTCTCCTTTGAATTCATATGCCTGATATGTCTGTTTCTCATTCATCTTTGCTACCACCTGGACCCAGCCATCAACAGCACTGTTTGCTAGGCCTCTGCATGCCTGTGATCAGCCCTCCCTGTCCCTTTGTTGTCAGCTCTCTGTGTCAGCATTCTCCACACAGCAGCCACATTGAGCTTGTCAGACCCATCAGAACACCATATTCCTTAACGCTCAGTGCCTCCTTGCAGTTCTCCACACCTGGACTGCGGCCTAACATGTGCTGCCACCTCAGCCAAGCAGCCTCTCCCCACACCTCCCCTACTAGCCTCACTCAGCCGTGTCAGCCTTTGCATGCCCCAGCAGATCAGCCCAATGTCCCACCTTTATGCTTGTGTCCATTACCATTTCAGTACTGTCCCAGTACTGAAAGTCCTCCTGGCCTAACATCTGGTTCACATGCCATTGCCTCAGATACCTCTCCAGTTGTACTTTGTCTTTCTATTCTTCATCATGTTGCCTTTTGCTACCACCTTGTTTTTCATTCACTGATTTGGTGACAGCTCCTCCCCCTCATGAGAACAGGGGCTTCAGTGTCACCTCAGTCACCCAGAAGGGCTTGTGACACACTGTCAGCCCTTGAAATAATGTTGCGTGAATAGATGAATAGCATAAGGTCATGGGAGAGTGTAGGAGAAAGCCTGTGGGGGCCCAGGCATCGCTTGGCACACCTCCCTGCAAGGCAGATACTTTGCCCCCAAACTGCCTTGTGGTTAGAAGGATCCCATCACCTGAATTGACTGTGCCATCTGGTGCAGTCCTGGAGCACCACCTGCTAATGAAGGCAGAGAAGTTGTGTTTGCAGGTGTCTGTACATGGTAGGGACGGAAGGACACATGACCCTGGAGGGAGGAGACAGATCTTTCAAGTTCTTTCAACTTGTATCTGCAGATGAAGCAAGGAGGCCGGGGACCAGGTGCCACATTAGAACACCAACAGGAGATCTCCAAAATAAAATCAGAGCTTGAGAAAAAAGTCTTATTCTATGAGGAGGAGTTGGTCCGACGTGAGGCCTCCCATGTGCTAGAAGTGAAAAATGTGAAAAAGGAGGTGCATGATTCAGAAAGCCATCAATTGGCCCTGCAGAAGGAAATCTTAATGTTGAAAGATAAATTAGAAAAGTCAAAACGAGAACGGTAAGCCTTTATGAGCTCCTCAGCGCTGACAATGGAAGTGTATTCCCATGCAGAAGGGCCAGCATCAGCAAAGGTGAGGACTTCTAAACCTTCTCTTTGCTTCACCTCCTCAGGCACAATGAGATGGAGGAGGCAATAGGGACGGTGAAAGACAAGTATGAACGGGAAAGAGCAATGCTATTTGATGAAAACAAGAAACTCACCGCTGAAAACGAAAAGGTGACTTGAAATATCTGAATGATTACTTCATTTGGAAGTTGTGATTTTTCATTCTTGAGCCTTTCAGAAGTTTAGTATCTGTAATAGTTGGTCTTTTATACGGAGTGTTTTCATTTACTGAGAAACTGCTACTTGAAGTCACTATTTCTGTCACTTTTAGAGTTAGACTTGAATGGGAATGTGATTTAACTTAAAGACAGTCAGAAGTCCTTATCCTGAAATTTGTTTGGAGAAATGTCCTAACAATAAGAATCTCTAGGGAAGGGGGGAGGCGGGGATCGCGGAGGCGGGGACAGGGTGGGGGTGGGGGCAGGAGGGAGAAATGACTGAAACAATGAATGCACATGTGAATAAATGAATAAAAAAAAGAAGAAGAATCTCTAGAACAACTTCCAATTTCAATTACGCTGCCCATGGGAATGCCAGACTAACAAATGATGTGGTAAAATTGCTTCATTTCAGCTTTGTTCCTTTGTGGATAAACTCACAGCCCAAAATAGACAGCTGGAGGATGAGCTGCAGGACCTGGCATCCAAGAAGGAGTCGGTGGCACACTGGGAAGCTCAGATTGCAGAGATCATTCAGTGGTACGTGCAGGGCAGGACACGAGAAGCCTCTGCCTTTTGCACTGTGCTGTTTGCTGAAGTCTCACGGTTGCCTACCTGAATCCCTAGTCTGGGCAGCCATTCTGTCAGTAGTTACCACGGTGGATGAAGGTGGGGAGACCCTGCCAGCTTACTCAGGACTTGAGTTGAGCTGTTTGTACTCCTCATTCTGAATGAAACACAGGTGGAATACTTCCTAGACCAACCATACATGGGACTGCAGAGAGCCTAAGAGGGAACCGGAGACTGGGCTCCTGTGGCATAGCAGGAATTGGCTTGTAACTGGTACTCTGGCTTCCATGACACTGTCCCAAGGAAGGCAGGAAGTATTCATCTTATTTGACTCCTCTTACCAATGGTAATGCCTCCTAAAACAAGCATCTCCCCATCTAGGGTCAGTGATGAGAAAGATGCCCGGGGTTACCTTCAAGCCCTTGCTTCTAAAATGACTGAAGAGCTTGAAGCTTTGAGGAGTTCTAGTCTGGGATCCAGAACACTGGTAAGATTTCTTCCAAAACCTGCATGCTTACTACTAAAGAATTCATTAGTAGTAGTATTTTAATTATGAATGTGGCACTTAAGTACCATTCTGGAATTCCAGTGAAGAGAGAGACTTATTTGGCCAGTGAGCATTAACCCTGGTTTGAAGAGTGTGTTGTCAGCTGTCAGGAGGTGATGATTTCTAATGCCATTCACACGCTTCGCCAGTAACTGTTGACCACAAGGCTCTGTGGCATGGTCTTAAAGTAGAAGGACTGGGCTCTGCCACAGGAAGCTGTGTTTATTGACTTGCTCCTCTGTCCACTCACTCAAGAGATCTGTGTTTTGAGTGCCAGAGTATGTGGCATGCTCTGGGCTCCTTGGGGACCCAGTGCCTCCTGTCCTGTTCCTGTGTGGTGGCCCCTTGGCAGAGGCTTCTTGCCACCATTATTCTGGGACACATTCCTTTCCTTTCCCTTTCCTTCCTCTCTTCCTCCCTCCACCCCAGGTGACCTCAGACTCTTGATCCTCCTGCCTCAGCCTCCTGCGTGCTGGGGTTACAGACATGTACCATCATGTTGGGTTCTCAGTTTCTGCTTTTTAAATATATGTGTGTAAGTTACTTTGCATTTTGTGGATTCTTATTTAAAAAACAATACAGAATTATACCTAGAACTTAAATTGGTGAACCCACATTTTATTTCTCACTCTCCTGGTTGAAAGTATGTTAACCCAAAAGGGGCAGCACCTTGCCTGCCACATATGAGCCTGGAGACCTCCACCCTGGGAACCCATTGCTAGACTCCAGACCCAACTCTGATAAATGATAGCACATTGTCACTTCACTTTCTGCATTTGCACTATCAAAACTCAACACTTCTGAAAACATGGACGAGACTCAGTTCTGCAAAAGGAAGGAATGTGACCATGTTCCTTTCTCCATAATGGAAAACATTTTGGTTTTTAGATTTTATGTTGATAAATACCAATTAGAATGCTCAGAGAGTTTTTTCCATTTTTCCATTTTGTTTTGATTCCAGTTATGTTTACACAAACATGTTCATAGTCAGGCTTACCAGTACTTATGAAAAGTATTAAATAAACTGTTCACAGTCCTCATAAAAGATGAAAGTGTTGTTATAGGTCCTTTCAACAAAACAGGGTGGTCAACAGTTCTTCATATTGAAGGGCCCACTGAATGAGAATTTTTTTCCCTTTTTTCCCTAAGAGAAGTATATTGTTTGCCCATCAGTTCTTGAAATACATCCAGTGTGTAGCTGAGTGAGAACTCACTGAGATTTTCTTGTACAGTTGTTTTATCATCATCAGTAGCATCTAGTGAGGAGTTCAACGTACGTCTCTCCCTCCTCATCCAGTCCTGATTGGCACTTGTGAAACATCTTCCTTTTGTCAGTTTTCTTCTCTCTACTGTGGGTGGGAAATGAAAAACTCTCAAGTGAAAGCTTTAAACAAAAACCCTTGGGATGGTATTTCTAGATTTCTTTTATGTCTCTTAGAGGTGCAGTACTTTGGATGGATCAATAAGAAAGCAAAAGAATGGAATCATCAAGCTAGTTTGCTTCACTGTGCCTTCCCTCTTTCCAGACCATTCCATCATGCCAACCCCAGCATTTTGTTTTTATCACTTTAGTCTTAGGTAGGAATGAGTAATGATATAATCCCTAGGATACGAAGGAGGAAAATGTTTCCAGTTACGGGATACAGTTGATGTTACCGTAGTATAGTGGAGGTTTATGAAAGCGTCCAGTGGATCCACACAGAAATTGTACCACAGAATCAGGTTTATTCTTACTTAAAAATTTAAATAGGTGTGGTAGGATAGGCCTGTAATCCCAGCACTTGAAAGGCTAGGGCAGGAGGGTCCTGAGTTTGAGGCCAGCCTGTGATACATAGTAAGACCTGGTCTCAAAAAAATACTCTGATTTTTAGAAAACTAATAAAAAAATAAAAGTTACAAAACATCAAACTAAATGCAGATCTCATGGACCTTGACGATATCTGAGGGTTATCACTAAACATAGTAAAGGTTTAAGAGTAGAGAAGAGATGAATTACTTGTTTGCATTCATTTTATTTAACAAATAAATAATTTAAAATGTATTTTGAATATTTTAACCAATGTCAAAAGGATCCACTTTGGAAAGTTCGCCGTAGTCAGAAGCTGGACATGTCTGCACGGCTGGAGTTGCAGTCTGCTCTTGAGGCGGAGATTCGCGCCAAACAGCTTGTTCAGGAGGAGCTGAGGAAGGTCAAAGACACAAACCTCTCCTTTGAAAGGTATTTTGTCCTGTGGTCTACTCCTCAGGAGAAACTGGGGCCATGTGACCTTGGGCATACACCGAACTTTCAAGCCCTTGTTTTCCCCGTGTGAGAAATTGGCACAATGGAGCTTGCTGTCTGCAGGACCACATGAGGGCAGGAAGTCAAGGTGACTTGGAAGAGCTCGAAGGAAAGTAAAGGTTCCAGCACTTAGTAGGTTCTTTATAAGGATTGGGTTGAAGGAATATACGAGTGGTCTCACCTGTGGGGAGTGCTTAACGTTCTTAAGAAATAATGTTGACCCAGGCATGGTGGCATATGCATGTAGTCCCAGAATTTGGGAGGTAGAGGCAGGAGGATCATGAGTTCAAGGCCACCCTGGGCTATATAATGAGACTCTATCTCAAAAAAAAAAAAGAAAGAAAAGAGCCAGGCATAGTAGTGCACCCTCATAATCCCAGCTACATGGAAAGTGTAGGTAGGAGGATCACAGTGATAGGAAGATCACAATCAGAGGCCAGCCCAAGGGAAAACGTGCAAGACCCTATCTGAAAAATAATTAAAGCAAAAAAGGACTTGGGGCATGACTCAAATGGTAGAGGGTTTGCCTAACTAGTGTGAGGCCCTGAGTTCAAACCCTAGAACTGCCCCCTTTCCCCCAAAAAAAGAAAAAGAATGAGGGCATGTGGGGGCTGAGCGATTGGTGGCTCTTTCCTTGTGTGCAAGGTGGATGCTTGTCTCTCCTTTGCTGGTGGTGAGATTCATGGCCACCAGTCATGAGAAGTATCTGACAGGTACCTCTGGCTGCCATTCTGTTTGTCAGCTCAGAACTTGTCTTTCTAAGCTAAAGCTAATAATATATTAAAATAGAGATTGAAGATGGTGTGCCTGTTAGGATTTTTCTCCAGCTTGAAGCAGTTACAAGAAGACCACTTTTACATGGCAAGTGACACATAATTGCCGGTTCTGCTGTTTGCAGGGGCTGTTTCATAGGCTCAAAACATGGTCTTGAACTGCAGTTCCATAGAAATTGTGCCTCTTCTGCCATGAAGGGGTGACAGGTCACCGACAGGATTCAGAGTCCCAAATCATATCAGTTAGGGGCTAAAAATATTAGTAGTAGCTGCCATCTAAATTTGCTTCCTTTGTGACAGGAACTGCTCTAAGAACTGTGTTCTGTTCAGTTATGTGACCCACCGTGAGGCAGGTGCTCTTGTTATCCTTCTTTACAGATGATGAGACCCAGGTGCAGATGTGTGGAGGTGCATCTGACCTCCTGGCCAGATGTTACCTATGGCGGCCTGGCTCTCTCTGGCCCCTCCACAAAAGCACGAAGCTCACAGGGCCCTCGCACTGGGCAGTAGTGGTGCTCCTGGTGCAGCCCAATGTTCCAGTGTGGCTTTTAGGGTTCTGACAGCTGAGGGATCTGGGCTGTATGTCCGCAGGGGACAGAGGACTCATCTGGAAGTAAGATTTGGAGTGTCAGAAGCACACCTAGGGATTCATGAGATACACCTTTCTGACTCAGGACTTTTAAAGCCACATTTGAATGTTCACAGTTAGAAACATTTGTGTTGAGTAGAAAGGGTTCCCTGAACCCTGCCATGCTTTGGCCATTCTCAGGAGCCAGAGGGAAAGCCCCGCCATTGTGCCTGGCATGCCCTGATCCATGTAGACATGGCCTTGTTGCAGTGCACTTACAACCACTTCACCTTCTATTTCAGCAAACTAAAGGATTCCGAAGCCAAAAACAGAGAATTGTTAGAAGAAATGGAAATTCTGAAGAAAAAGATGGAAGAAAAATTTAGAACAGATACTGGTAAGTTAAATCACAAATACTTGAATTATTTACATATCAGCCTTTTCTAATAAGTGGCTTTGTTTTCTTTTAGAGTTAATAGGTTTTTTTTTTTTTCAGTTATGTAAAGTACTTACATAATTCCAAGGTCAAAATTTTGAAACAATACAGATACCTTCCCCAATGTAACCACTGTTTTTTGGTTTATTCTTCCTTTGTTTTATCCTGGAAACAAAGCAAATACATATGTATAGTTATGCATTTGTGTCCCCAGGTCACACAAAAGCAGCATGCTCTGTGCTATTCTATGCTGGGGAAGTCACTAGGCCACACCCTGGGAAGCTCTTTCACGTCTGTGCTCTGCCCTGCTCTGGGTTGTGCCAACCTTTGTGGATGGTGCGGGGCTATTTCCTGCTCCTAGAAAGTGCTGCAGTGAGCCAGGCATGAAGGTACACACCTGTAATTCCAGCACTCAGGAGGTGGTCCTGGAAGTGAGGCAGGAAGATCATGACATGAGGCCAGCCCATCTCAAGGAAACAAAATCAAACAGCTGGTTATAGTGGCATATACTTATAATACTAGCACTCAGGAGGCAAAGGCAGGAGGATTGGGAGGCAGAGGCCAGCCTATTCTACGTAGTGAGACCCTCAAAAAACTAAAACAAAAGTGTGTGATTTGCTTTTTTTTTTTTTTAAGTACTGGGATTTGAAATTAGGGCCTTGTAGTGTTCTACCACTTGAACCATACCCCCAACCAATATTTTATATTTTTGTCAGTGTATTTTTGGGGTAGAGTTCTAGAAGTGGAGCTGCCAGGTCAACGACTGATGGATCATCAGGGATCTCTGTACCACAGCCCATGCTGAGAGTCAGCTTCATACTTTGGGATTTTTGCCACCCCGAGTATGCGAGAAATAGCATCTACTGTAAATTCAATTTACATTCTTTACCCATGTTTTAGAATTCAGATTATTAGTCTTAAGTCTTAGGAACTTTTTATATATACTGACAGTAAAAGCCTTCTGTTTGTGATGTTAAGTTGCAGGTATTTTTCCTACTTTGACTTTGCTTATATATATATATATTTTTTTTTTTTCTAAAAAAAATATTTTTCTTTTTTTGCAATTTTGGGAATAGAATCCAGGGCCTTGTGCATACTAGCAAGCACTCTACCACTGAGCTACAACCCTGGCTCAGAAAGACTTTTTCTGTTTTTGTTGGTCAATTTTTAATCAGCCTTGCCTGTCTTAAGTCATAGTTACAGAACCATTCCTGATTCCTAGCTGTTCAAGGGATCATAAGTGGGCTTTTGTTCCCCTAATATGCTTGTAGGGTCTCTCTCTCGCCCCTCCCTACCTCTGTCCCTTTTTCTCCTTTTCCCTCTCTTCCCCCCCTTCTCTCTCTATCCTCTTTCATTCTTGCTTTTTTTTTTTTAATTTTTACTTCTGAGTGGAGAGATCTCCCATGCTCATGGATTGGTAGCATCAACATAGTAAAAATGTCAATACTCCCAAAAGTAATCTACATGTTTAATGCAATTCCCATCAAAAGTCCAATGACATTCATTAAAGAGATTGAAAAATCTACTGTTAAATTTATATGGAAACACAAGAGGCCACGAATAGCCAAGGCAATACTCAGTCAAAAGAACAATGCAGGAGGTATCACAATACCTGACTTCAAACTATATTACAAAGCAATAACAATAAAAACAGCATGGTACTGGCACAAAAACAGACATGAAGACCAGTGGAACAGAATAGAGGACCCAGATATGAAGCCACACAACTATAACCAACTTATCTTTGACAAAGGAGCTAAAAATATACGATGGAGAAATAGGAGCCTTTTCAACAAAAACTGCTGGGAAAACTGGTTAGCAGTCTGCAAAAAACTGAAACTAGATCCATGTATATCACCCTATACCAAGATTAACTCAAAATGGATCAAGGATCTTAATATCAGACCACAAACTCTTAAGTTGATACAGGAAAGAGTAGGAAATACTCTGGAGTTAGTAGGTATAGGTAAGAACTTTCTCAATGAAACCCCAGCAGCACAGCAACTAAGAGATAGCATAGATAAATGGGACCTCATAAAACTAAAAAACTTCTGTTCATCAAAAGAAATGGTCTCTAAACTGAAGAGAACACCCACAGAGTGGGAGAAAATATTTGCCAGCTATACATCAGACAAAGGACTGATAACCAGAATATATAGGGAACTTAAAAAACTAAATTCTCCCAAAACTAATGAACCAATAAAGAAATGGGCAAGTGAACTAAACAGAACTTTCTCAAAAGAAGAAATTCAAATGGCCAGAAAACACATGAAAAAATGCTCACCATCTCTAGCAATAAAGGAAATGCAAATTAAAACCATGCTAAGGTTCCACCTCACCTGTTAGAATAGCCATCATCAGCAACACCACCACCAACAGGTGTTGGCGAGGATGTGGGGAAAAAGGAACCCTCTTACACTGTTGGTGGGAATGTAGACTAGTACAACCACTCTGGAAAAAAATTTGGAGGCTACTTAAAAAGCTAAACATCGATCTACCATTTGATCCAGCAATACCACTCTTGGGGATATACCCAAAAGACTGTGACACAGGTTACTCCAGAGGCACCTGCACACCCATGTTTATTGTGGCACTATTCATAATAGCCAAGTTATGGAAACAGCCAAGATGCCCCACCACTGACGAATGGATTAAGAAAATGTGGTATCTATACACAATGGAATTCTATGCAGCCATGAAGAAGAACGACATGTTATCATTCGCTGGTAAATGGATGAAATTGGAGAACATCATTCTGAGTGAGGTTAGCCTGGCCCAAAAGACCAAAAATCGTATGTTCTCCCTCATATGTGGACACTAGATCAAGGGTAAACATAACAAGGGGATTGGACTATGAGCACATGATAAAGCAAGAGCACACAAGGGAGGGGTGAGGATAGGTAAGACACCTAAAAAATTAGCTAGCATTTGTTGCCCTCAACGCAGAGAAACTAAAGCAGATACCTTAAAAGCAACTGAGGACAATAGGAAAAGTGGAACAGGTACTAGAGAAAAGGTTAGTTCAAGAATTAACCTAGAAGGTAACACCCACGCACAGGAAATCAATGTGAGTCAATGCCCTGTATAGCTATCCTTATCTCAACCAGCAAAACCCCTTGTTCCTTCCTATTATTGCTTATACTCTCTCTACAACAAAATTAGAAATAAGGGTAAAATAGTCTCTGCTGGGTATTGAGGTGGGGGAGAGGGAGGGAGAGGAGTGGGTGGTAAGGGAGGGGGTGGGGGCAGGGGGGAGAAATGACCCAAGCCTTGTATGCACATATGAATAATAAAAAGGAAAAAAAAATTTTTACTTCTGGCAGTACTGGGGCTTGAACTCAGGGCCTCACGCTGGCTAGGCAGATCCCTCTACCACTTGAGCTACTCCACCAGCCCACTCTACCCTCTTTCCTCAGCCTCTTGAGTTGTTGGTATTACAGGTATACACCACTGTGCCTAGCTTAGTTTCACTTTTTTAAAATAAAAAATGGTTGGTCCATTTGGAATTCATTCTGATCCACAATCTGAGGAGTCTGCCCAGTTAAATCTCTCACCTTAAGCTCGTTTCCCTTCTGATTCCATTTGTGGCTCTGGTCATATGAAGTCCCTGTGGCACTGTTCTGTTTCTGAATTCTCTGTCCTATTCCATTGTTCATTGTCAAAAACTACTTGGTTCTAATCACAGTGCTTCCATGGTTCTGTTGTTGTAGCTAGTCACTCCTCCACCCTCCCAGCCCACCTGCCTCCTCGTTCCTAGTTTTTCTAGAGAGTCTTTCTTGAGTTTTCTTACAGGCAACCATGCTGATTCTCTTTCTCATCCTGGGAAAGGTCTCCCTGGGGTTACATCACACTTGTCATGTGTTTTGTTTTGTTGTGTTGTGTTTTTGCCACACTGGTGCTTGAACTTTGGGCCTTGTGCTTGCCAAGCAGGTACTTTAATACCACTTAAGCCATACCCCCATCTCTTATTGCTGTATTTTTCAAATAGTGTCTCACATTTATGCCTGGGGCAGCCTAGACCTCCATCTTCCTATTTATGCCTCCTGTATAGCTGGAATAACAGAAGTGTACCACTGTACCCAGCTTTTATTGGTTGAGATGTGGTCTTGTGAACTTTTTGCCCCATCTGCCCTTGAGCCACCATCTTCCCTAATCTCCACCTCCCGAGAGGCTAGGACTATAGGTATGAGCTGCTACTCCCAGCCAAGCTTATCAATTTCTTTCAGAAGAACTGAAGTCTGGACCACAAGTCTTGATATTTAACAATAAAATCAGTCTCTTTAAAATTTTTACCTGAACTATTCTCTTTCTCTTGCAGGGCTCAAACTTCCAGATTTCCAAGATTCCATCTTTGAGTATTTCAACACTGCACCTCTTGCACATGACCTAACATTTAGAGTGAGTAATTACTTTTTTTTCATAGTGATAAATGAATTTATATAATTTAGAAATGATCTACCAGTGAAGCCACAAAGATACCAGTGCATTAAAACTTGCTGTTCCTCTCAAAACTGTGCTGGCCACATAATTGACCTGGAATGTTATTTTGTGAGGTTAGAGACACTTAAAGGTATTTGAACTGCTCACAACAGAACTTTCTAATGCTCATACTAAGTGTTTGATGAAGAAAGTGCTCAATGCCTTCAGAAAAGAAGTCTACACTGGCCTCTGGCTGTGTAGTGAGTATTTTGGGCAATTTAAAAAATAAAAATAATAAAGCCATTTCTGTGACTTTCACATGGATGTATTGTTCTGTCCCAGTGACTGGTGGAAAATGGTGCTAAGACCTGGCCTTAGTGACCAGTGAGCTTGTAAGCTGACCCCCCCACAGAATGAGTCCCACTTCCTCCCTCCACAGATGCAACTTCCTATAGCATTCCAGGAGGCAAGATGTTCATTCCCTCCCTGAAACAATAACGTAGACTTACTCTAGCAGTCATTTGAAGCAAATGGAACAATGAAAGCAAATGATGTCATTAATGAAGCTTCAATGAGGTGCCCTTTTTGGGTTTCCAGCTTTTTATTTAGAGAATTCTGATCCTATAAGAAAGTGGAAAATACAGTATTATGAGAGTGTACACCTGGCATTTTGCTACATTTGTGCTCTTGCTATCTCTCTCTCTCTCTCTCTCTCTCTCTCTCTCTCCCTCTCCCTCCCTCTCTCTCTCCCTTCCCTTCTCTCTCCTTCTCTCCCCTCTCTAAATCCCATATACACATATTTATTCTTCCTGAGCTATCCGAGTGACTTGTAGGCATCTGTGACCCCAGGATATCCCAGCATTTCTTTCCTGAAGTCAAGGGTGTTCTCCCGTGGACTGCAATGTCACCATAGGGCATTTTGCACCAGTGCTGAAGTTCCATATATGTGTTTGATCCTTGTGGTCCAGGCAGAGTCCTGGACAGCTGTGGTTCCTCCTAGTTCAGGATCTACCAGAGGTCATGGGTGGCAGCTAGTCCTCAGGGCTCCCTTGATCTAGAACAGATCTCCTGCCCTCTACCCTTATGACATTGCAGAATGTCCTACACTCTGTCCCATGTTTCCTCTTGATTACATGTCGGTTGGACATTTTGTCATGAATTCTACATCAGAGATGTGCACTTTTCTGACATAGTTTCACTATTAGGGTGAGGTGGTGTCTTCTGGAATGGGCCCACTGTAAAAGGGAGTGGCCAGCAGGTAACCTAGTGGGCATCTGTCTAGCAGTAGCTTTCTTACAGGAGTTGGCTCATGAGCCATTTTGGGCACATGCCTGTTGTTCACCCATCAGAAAAATTTGGGTTTGATCAAATTGGCAATCTTTGTCCTTTCCCCCAAGTCCTCAGTTTTTAAGAAGCAAATATATTTAACCATATTTGCCCTCTCATTCTTCAATGGATTTGCTGCAATACCCCTTTCTGGTCACTGTGGTGCCAGACCTCATCAGGGTGAGGAAGAGGTAAAGATTCAAAAGACTAGTTGCGGGCTGGCAGAGTGGCTCAAGTGGTGGTCGCCTTATTGTGTTTTCTTACCAGGATTTACTGGGTGGGAAATGATGGTTTTGTTCCTCCTGTCTGTCACACCATGAACTCCCTCTCTCTTCATCTGCATCCTCTCTGGTGGCCTTTTTGGAGGAAGTAAGCAGCTGCGGTGCTGCCTCCCCTGGCCCTGTCAGCAAGCAGCACCCTAAATTCCTCAAATTGAATCTGTTTGATTAATTAACCAACTAAAGAAACTAATGGGATATTACATGACTAACGTTAAATGACTCCGTTTTCTTCTCAGTTACCAGATCGCTAATTCATTTAACATTCCTTATTTGTGGGGAATGTTTGGCTTACATTTTCTAGTTTTGATAATTATCTAATTGACCCATTCTGCCCCTAGAAAATTTGATTACAAATTCAAATACTTTGCAGTATACAGTTGTGTTTTTGCCTTCCCGTCTGAATGTGGCTCCTTACATAGCAGCCTGATTAATTGCAGCTGTGGGAAGGTGCTTCACCTGATTTGGGCCTTTGGGATTCTGATACAGAATCAAAGCACAATGGTAAACTGCTCTCTGCACCCTCCTCAGCACTCTTGGGTTTAGAATGCTGCTTCCTGTGCTGATGCTGGCACCCGTTCTCAGGATTGTTGAGGGCTGTGTGTATAGCAATAGCCTGAGATAATGGAGTGCTAGTTACAAGAAGTAGCTGCTAGTGGTTTGGAGTGCAGCTTCATATCAGCTGGATGGTTGTGGGGTGCCTTTGGAGCTCCTAAGTTCCTAGAGTAAAACACTGTGTTCAGAGAAGTACACACTTGCTCATAGGCCACAGACCTCTATGGATGTTAGAAACAAGGGTAAGAAGCACTTGACTATTTGGTCTGAAGGCTGCCAATTCCAGATAGAATTACTTGTAACTAAGTCAAAGGATTAATATTCCCCAATTTCTACCTTTAAATGGCCAGGGGAGAGAAGGCGACAGAAGAGTGGGTGGTAGGAGCTCACACAGGGAGCAGTCAGATGATGCCTCACTTTGGTGATAACTGGTGGCTTGCCAGACTCCACCTACTTATGCACTCACCACTGTAGCCTTACAGTGCCAAGGACAGTAGTCCTCAGGAAAAGTAGGACAGTTATGAGTAGACTGGGGGTCATTATGAGACCTGGGGTGACTGGGATACAGGGGACCCTAGTCCTTGACAGAATGTGCTCCTCAAGTAAAGAACCTTGTCTTTTTCTTTACACAGACCAGCTCAACTAGCGATCAGGAAACACAGGCTCCAAAGCCAGAAGTGTCCCCACCAACTTCTGTGGCTGCAAGCACAGACCAGCAAGAGGTAAAGTGGTATGCCCTGTGGGTGCTCTGAGGGCCTGTGATCTGCCCCATGTCCACATGACAGATGTTGCCTTGCTGACCAGTAGCCACACTGATTCCAAGGCTGACCCACCTGTCACTGCTGAGCCACTCCCAGGCTCTTAGTCCAACCTCTTGTCTTCATAATCCTGTCAGCCCATCAGCTGGATGAGGAAGGCTTTGGCAGGTGTTTCAACAATGCAGTAAATTAAAAATGCAGAAAGTTAATTATTAATAAATTCTAGAAAGAAATAACACCAGATGGGGCCTAACAGCTAAGTTTCAGTGCTGAGACAGGATGGTGCTCACCTTACTGCACTTGTCTCCCAGGACATGGCTCGACCCCCACAGAGGCCACCTGCTGTGCCACTGCCCACCACTCAAGCCCTTGCCCTAGCTGGACCAAAGGTAAGGCCTTGCTTGTAATCTAGGTGCCTTCTGAGCTTTACAAGATGACCTTTGGGTAAATAAGCACACGTGTTACTTTTGTGTATATGGTAGGGCCCTTGTATTCTGGAGTTGAGGGTGTTCAGAATAGCATGAATTCTAGGACCTGAGTCATCACAAGTGTGTTGCAACTGGAAGCTGAGTACAGTCTCCCTTCCCTACCCCTCAACCCCCAGTTGTGTGCCATCTACAGTGGGAACCTTTCATACATCCAGTTCCTTTCACGTTTATTGTTATTTATCTGTCTGCACTTAAAGAAACATGTGGTCTGTGGGCAAGAATTTTTTCCCCAGCATAAATGGAACTATACAGAATGCGCAGTTTAAATTTTGCCTTTCTCATAAGCCCATCCTGGAGAACCTTGCACTCTGTGCATACAGCTCTGCCTTGTTTACTATACCTGCCTGGGGGTCAGTCCCCTTTTCTTGTGTATAAATATCAATGCAGACCTAAGTCTTCCAATTGTGTTCAGTCTCTGAGTGAAAGCTTAGCATTTAGCTGTACCTGTTTGTATTTTGTCTTTTTTTATTGTTGTTGGTTGCACTGGAGTTTGAACTCAAGAGTTTTAAGCTTGCTAGGCAGGTGCTCTACTGGCTCTCTCCCTGCCCACCTCCTCCATCCTCCTGGAGAGTGTCCCCTTCCCCCTTCATACATGGTCTTGCCATGTATGTCTTCCTGAACAGTCTGTCACTTTTGTTGCTGTGGGTAGGCTTTGTGAACACACTGTCCCATGCTAGCCTCATACTTCTGTCCTTGTCGGTTGCATCCTAATGTGTCTGTTTTCATGGCTGGGGACAGTGAGTCTTCCCAGACTTTTGCTATTAGGAACAGGGCTTCTGTGGACATTTCTTGCATGTGTCACTCACCTAAGGGCCACTATAGGTGACAGCCCAACCCAGACGTGGCCCGTGGCCAGTGAGCAGCACATTCCTAGAAGAGAAATAACACATTGCAGCTTTTTAAGATGACACCCAAGTTGTTTATGAAGCAGTCAAAAGCAGACTGGCCCACCTCTCCCCAGTTCCTGGTCCACCTGACTATTCTTAATGTCTCTTGCAGCCTAAAGCACACCAGTTCACCATCAAGTCTTTCTCCAGCCCCACCCAGTGCAGCCACTGCACCTCCCTGATGGTTGGACTGATCCGACAGGGCTATGCCTGTGAGGGTGAGTGTTGACTGTCACGCCAGAGGTCACCACGTGACTTTATACATGCTGCTTTGGGCATCAGTGTCTGGGCAACAGTTCTCACACAGGCTAACCATTGAAAGTGAGGTACACCTGTGGGTTATTTGGGGGCAGGCTTGTTGCAGTCCTGGATCTCTGCTGCTACTGGAGAGTACTCTGGGCAAACCACCAGGTCATCTGCTGAGAATTACTGCAAGAGTCAATGTCCATGGTCAGTATAGAAATCAGGAAAAACAAGGAAGAAAACTGTAAAATCTTCACTATCAGATTGTCAAACCATGTCTTGGTTACTGTCTTTTTGCTATGAATTTTCTTTTTTTTTTGGCTGTACTGGGGGTTGAACTCAGCCTTGTGCTTGCTAACCAGGCACTCTATTACATGAGCCCTTTTTGCCTTGTTTTTTTACTCAAGGGTCTCACTTCATGCCTGGGCCAAACTAGACTGCATCATTGGAATGACAGGCACACACCACTGCTTCCAGCTTTTATTAGTTGAGATGGGGTCTTGAGAACTTTTTGCCCAGGCTGACCTGGAACCTTGATCCTCCTGATTTTCACCTCCCAAGTAGCTAGGATTATAGGATTGAGCCACTGTGCCCAGCCACTTAGTTATTATTTTGAAATTTTGAAAATTGTCTTGTGTTCTTGGCCCATGTTGGGATTTGACAACCTGCTCTTGTCTCCCTTGCTCAGCCCGTTCACTCATATGATGGTAACTGCCCCATTTCCTAGATGAGCACTCGGCTCACTGCCACATCCTACATCAGAGCCCAGACCTTTGCTGCTCTGAGCGCAAAGGGTAGAAGTGCTGTGCAATAACAGCTTTTCTATTTTTTTTTCAAAGAAACCATTTCTTTTGTTAGTTCTTGTTTTGTTATTTATCATAAGCCTTTTGATTAGGTGCCAAGCCCCCTGCATTGCAACCATTGCCTGGTGACTGACAGCAGGTGATTCTGGGAAGATTTGGAGACTGGCCTGTGTGGAACGAGGGAAGGCTCTAGAGGATAACAGTAAATCAAGCTGTGCACGTATGCACTCCTATTCCAAGCCCACTTCCCTGAGGGCTCTACTGTAAGGGCTTGGACAACTGATCCCACAGCCTTTGTTGGAACTGTGTTCCACAGAGTATTGTTACCATATTGGACACCAGGACTTTCCTTGATGGGGCATGGCAACTGTTACACTGCCTCTGCGGTGACTTCATAGGCCACAGATTGTGAGGTGGGGCTCTCTCTCTCTTCCAGTGTGTGCATTTGCCTGCCATGTGTCCTGCAAAGACAGTGCTCCCCAGGTGTGCCCCATTCCTCCTGAGCAGTTCAAGAGGCCTCTGGGCGTGGATGTACAGAGAGGCATAGGGACAGCCTACAAAGGTTATGTCAAGGTAGGAAGCCATCTTTCATGCCACAGCCCAGCATGGCTCACTCTCTTTGAGGTGTGGTGACCAATGACCACACCCTAGCTAGTCATAAAATAATCCTTTTGCTATATGAAGTGACCCCTTCTGGGAATGAGGCAGTCAGACCAACCACAGCACTGTTTGCATGGCCAAGGACCTGAGCACCACAGAACACTGAGATCCCCCCTGGGTGGTTCCCATGTTCCCTGCCTCCTGGGCTGGGCATCAGGTCAGTAGGATTGAAATCAGGTTCCAAAGCTAAGTGGTGTTTGTGGACCACTTATGCTTAGAGTGTCTCCACATACCTGTCCAGCCACAGGATCTAAGATGCAGTGTGTTTGGGGGAGCACAGCTGTTTGCTGGGTTGCCCAACTTCCCCTACCTCTCCTTACCATGGGCACAACCCTCCCCAATCCTATCCCAAGCTTTCTGGGCCAGGGAAGCTTAGATATAACTTTGGCCACCAGTCTGATTGGGGGCTGAGGGAAATTGTCCCTGGGGAACCAGAACAGTCTTGTGGCAACTGGTGGCACACTGAGAGTGAGTCTGAGATAACCTGGTGGTCTACACGTCAACTACCCAGACATGTTCTGACGGGCTCTGTGGCCCAAAGGAACATGGTCACTCTGTGTCTGTAGGTTCCGAAGCCCACGGGAGTGAAAAAAGGGTGGCAGAGGGCTTATGCAGTGGTCTGTGACTGCAAGCTCTTCCTGTACGACCTGCCCGAAGGAAAGGCCACCCAGCCTGGTGTTGTGGCCAGCCAAGTCTTGGACCTGAGGTAGGTTTCGTATGTCACTGTCCTTGTTCTATGAATTTTTGTTCTGCTTATTTATCCTTAGCCAGAAGCAGTTTGGTAATTGGGTAATCATTGACGTTATTTTTATCTTTACCTCCTTAAGTGTTGTTTCAAAATTTAATGAAAGCTTGGTTGTTATTTAAAATACATGATGTAACTTTCCTGCTTTGGATATTTCTGCATTAAAAAATGTGCCGTATAGGCATTTCACATAAAAATACATAACCAATAACAACCAGAAGTTACCCCAGAGAAAAACTGTGTAGCCTGTGGTCATTTGTGCCTTTCAGATACCATGAAAGTTCTCTTGTCTGTGAGCCAGGGCTTTAACTGTGTGGCCATAACCTCTGCCACATATGACATGGCTCTTTTCCCATCAGATAGCACCGTCCTGGCATCAGGTACCTCATGCAGATGGAGGCTCTGCCCTTCTCTCCACTTTCTCACAGCTAACACCTCTGGCCCTGAGTCTCCCCAATTGTAGAATGGGGATAGCAGCCCCATTGCTGATGTGGAGGGCTGCTGGGAAGGTTAGGCAGTTATCAGAGGATACACTCCATGTAGACCCTGGCACGCAGAGCTGCTGCTGCACCCATGTCAGTTCCTCATACAGGAGGGCCTGTTCTATCATCCTTTCTCTGTGCCTCATGGGAATGGCAGACCTTATAAGCAGTTGACACTTGCTCTGGCTTGGACCTGGAAACTCAGGCTCCTGTGTTCTTAGGGCTGGGGCTGCAGCAGGCACTCTCAGGACAGCCACAAGAGCACTGCTGGGTCAGAATCCCTCCGCAGAGCCTGCCCTTCCCACATCCCCAGCCTGAAGGGCACCTGCTTGCATGGTCCTTCACTGCACAAGTGTGCCCTAGCCTGGCATGAGCCCAAGTCATGAACACTGTCTGAAGGTGGAGCTAGCTTTCCCACACTGACCTCACAATGTTATGCTCCTCTTGTTCACAAGAGAATTGTGCCAAGGGCAAGACAAATGATTGATGTGGAATTTGTAACTGGGGGACAGTCCAGTGTGACATGGCAGTGTGAATCAAGGCATGGGATTTTTCTCTCAGCCGTCCCCAACCATCAAGACTTCTGTTAGAGCCTCAAGTCGTCCGTTGTTTTGGTAAGGGTCAGTGTCAGTGTCTCCTGGTCCAGGAGGCAGCCAGGGGCCACCTGTGCAGCAGACAGGAGTCTGGGGTTGCCTTTTCTTGCAACCAGAATCTGAAGGATGAGGGAAAGCCTGTGTGATCTTCCCAGAGCTCTGAGTGTTTCTTTCTTGCCAGAGATGAAGAGTTTTCGGTGAGCTCAGTCCTGGCCTCAGATGTCATCCATGCAACACGCCGAGACATCCCATGTATATTTAGGGTATGAGTTTTTCTGATATGTTTTCTAATTTTTAGAGACCATTTTATTAATCACATGGTTAAAATGCAGCAGTTCTGCATGTTTTGTTGCATTGAAGCAAATATGAGTGGATGTCCCGGATGACTTCCTTGTCCACCTTCCCATCTTGCACCAGGTTCTTCATGCATGTCCCTCCTGTCATACCTTGACCCTCTTCAGCAGCAACCACACACACAACACAGCCTGTATCCCTCTTCTGGGGAACCTGCACACCAGCTTCTTTTCTAGGTACCCTCCCAACTTCAGTTGACCCCTCCCTTCTCACCCATTCTGAAGTGCCTTTTCCACCTTATCTGGCCATGGTGCCTCAGTGCTAGAGGAAGCTGCACAGTGGATTCCATGAGAACCATCCCGTTCTAGTGCTGCTCTTCCCATCATTTGCTCTTCACTAGCTGATGGAGACAGGAAGAAGTCATTTCAATGAATAGTCCTGGCTTCCCAGTGTTTGAGTTGGAACCCCCACTCCTTGAGTTAGCATTAGACACTGGGGCATTAGGAAGCATTGTGGATCAGAGAAAGACATGCACTGCCCCTCCACTGGGATTTTTTATAAACACAAACTTTAGTTGATGGCAGAACTAAGTCTGAGAGTCATTTTGTACTAAATCACATCTCTGATCAGAAATAGCCTCATATGCAATTCAGAAAATTGCCACCATCACTTGCTTAAAGTGACCATTATTTTGAAGCCACTGAAGCTTTTAGCTCCCTTAATAAGCACTTAGTGATTGCTCACAGGAAGCAGGATTTTATTGAGACCCTGTCTTCCGTGAACATGTTCTAAGACTCTACTTTTTAATTATCATAAGATTATTAAAGCAATTTTAGGCAGGCACAGTAGCTCACAACTGTAATCCTAGCTACTTGAGAGGCAAAGATAAGGAGAATTGTGGTTTGAGGCCAGTCCAGGCAAAATGTTCTGGAGACCTCATTCTACCAATAAAGAAGCTGGGCATGGTGACACATGCCTGTCATCCCCGCTATGGAGGAAGCATAAACAGGAGGAGAGAGGTCCAGGCTGGCCCCATGCATAAATGCAAGACCCTATTTGAAAAATACATAAAAACAAAAAGGGCTAGGGCATGACTCAAGCACAAGTCTCTGAGTTTAAACTCCAATACCTCTGGAAAAAAAGAGAGAGAAATGGGCAGTTACACCATAGTTTTGAAATCTGATCATGAAGGGATTTCCCAGAGCTGTGCCTGTAATTACACACCTTTCCTTTTTACTTCCCTGAGAGCCTCCTGGAACCTATGACACAACCCTCCACCTGTGACCTCTAGAGCGAGTGCTTTCTGAGGGCAGGTGCCTGCTGTGACCTGGCTCCCTGACGGCTCTGTTTGTCTTTTGTTTTCTCTCCTGAAGGTGACGTCCTCTCTCTTAGGTGCACCGTCCAAGACCAGCTCGTTGCTCATCCTGACAGAAAATGAGAATGAAAAGAGGAAGTGGGTGGGGATTCTGGAAGGTCTCCAGGCCATCCTCCACAAGAACCGGCTGAGGAACCAGGTCGTGCACATCCCACGGGAGGCCTATGATAGCACACTGCCGCTCATCAAGGCTGTCCTCGCCGCTGCCATCGTGGGTATGTCCCTGACAGGCTGAAAAGGCAGAGTATCTCAAAGGTTTCTATAACACTGTCTGAGAAGTCAAACGAAAAACTGCACACATATGAATAAAATAAAATATGTATATATCTACAACGAATTTGCAATAAACTACACAACATATTAAAAAAAAAAAGGCTGCAATTGTGTCATCCCATCCTGAATGTGGAGATAGTTTCTCCGTGTGTTTAAGAAGCAGACAACTTATGAAATGATGTATGTTGTTCCCCCCAGATGGAGACAGGATTGCCGTTGGCCTGGAAGAAGGGCTCTACGTCATAGAGCTCACCCGAGATGGTGAGTGAGCAGGCTGCAGCTCAGGTCCCACTTGGTGCTACAGTAAAGCACAGGACAAACATAGGGCCTTCAGTGCGTGCAGGGAATTCACCTGGCGCTTGGGGAGTGGCTTAGTGATGCAGTGCATGAGGCCTTGTTCCATCCTTAGCACCACAAAACTTCCTAGTACTTGGGAGGCTTAGATAGGGAAGATTGCTAGCCTATCTCCAAAATAACCAGAGCAAAATGGACTGGAGGTGTGGCTTAAGCGGTAGAGCGCCTGCTTTATAAGTGCAAAGCCTCAAACTCAAACTCCAGTCTCACCAAAAAATTAAAAAATGAAGCAAAACAAAAGAATTCGCCTGGTATGTAAATTAAGTCTCTAAATCAGAGGACTTTATAAACAAAGGGAAAGGCAAGTGGCAGAGAGAAATAATTTCTGCCAAATACGGCAGGTGTTTTGTCTTATTTCTTGAGTGTCCCTTGGCACAGTAGAGTGCCCAGACATGGTGGCTTGATGGCATCATGAGCCTGGGGACATGGTGGTGAGTTCCTTTTTAGGTCCATTGAGTGAGGAGTGAGGTGGGGTTGGGGTCAGAGCTTCCCAGGAGGACCTGCACAGTTCCTGGTGTGCTGAAGCTTTGTATAGAGATTAGTTCCTCTACATCACATTGGATATGTCACTCTTGCCAGCTAGGAAGGCAGAAGTGTACCTGCCCATCCTTGCTTCATATCCCTGGCCTAAGAGCAGAAAAGCCAAAGGCTAGAGCTACCCAAGGGCTCCAGAGCCTGGAGGAGCTATAGCAGCCAAGGGCTGCTCAGTCCCTTGAACTCCAGACCAGGACCTGCATGGTGGGGAGCCTCAGGCAGCTAGTGTCCTGGGGCTAAGTTGGGGTCCAGTGAGAGGCAAATGCTTTCCAAGAGCTCATTGTAGGGTCTTTTGAGGCTGGAGATAACATTTGTTTACCACTCACTACTCAAGATATGTTTGGTGCTAGAATATGAGCCTTGGGAGTAAGCAGCTGGAGCCATGACACTGCAGGCAGATGTGCAAATGTGGTGGGCAGAGGCGGGTCTTAGCCAGGGCGTTAGGATGGTGGACAAGATGCCTGTGTATCCATGTTACAACACTGCCTCTGAGGTGGAGGACAGCTGGGTGGGAATGTCCTCATGGGAAGGCACCGAGGGGGCACCTGGGGGCCATTTCCACCTGGTATCTAGCAGGGAACACTGAGCTGAGCTGACTCGCTGACTTTGCACTGTCACCATTGCTTTCCTCGCCATAGTGATTGTCCGCGCTGCCGACTGTAAGAAAGTGTACCAGATTGAGCCTGCACCCAAGGAGAAAATCATTGTCCTTCTCTGTGGCCGGAACCACCATGTGCACCTCTATCCGTGGTCTTCCTTTGATGGAGCAGAAGGCAACTTTGATATCAAGCTTCCAGAAACAAAAGGCTGCCAGCTCATAATGACTGCGACGCTGAGGAAGAGCTCATCTACCTGCCTGTTCGTTGCAGTGAAGCGACTGATTCTCTGCTATGAGATACAGAGAACTAAGCCTTTCCACAGAAAGCTCAGTGAGATGGTGGCTCCGGGGCACGTGCAGTGGATGGCCGTGTTCCAGGACAGGCTCTGTGTTGGCTACCCTTCTGGGTTCTCTCTGTTGAGCATCCAGGGGGACGGGCAGTCTCTCGACCTGGTAAATCCCACTGACCCCTCGCTTGCGTTCCTCTCACAGCAGTCTTTCGATGCCCTTTGTGCTGTGGAGCTCAAAAGCGAGGAGTACCTGCTTTGCTTCAGCCACATGGGACTGTACGTGGACCCTCAAGGCCGGAGGTCACGCATGCAGGAGCTCATGTGGCCTGCGGCTCCTGTCGCCTGTAGTATGTATATGTTTTTCTGTTGCCATATCCCTGTTGCTGCTTCTCACATCGACAGTCGGCATGTGTTCTATTTGCTTTGGTTTGTCTCCCAGTCCCCTAGCCAAGTTACAGCAGGACGAGAGGGGCCCACGCCTCCATGGTGCAAGTGCCCAGAGCCTTGCTCTTCCAAGCACTTCCACTGGTCTCCAGAGCCCCGAGGACAACAGTGGACTCCCTGGGCAGAAGGGCACAGTGAATAGAAGAGGGAGCTGGAATTTCTCTCTCCTGAAAAGGAAAGAGATTAATAGATAAACTTACACAACAGTGTAAACAGAGGTTTTTGGTGGCCAGGATTTTCAGGTGCAGTCTCTTGTAGGCTAGGATTTTTTTTGAAGCGCGTGGGAGCTATTCTGTTTTCACACAGTTGGGTTCGTAATTTGCTTGGTATAAGTGATTTTCTGTGTGGGAAGTCGCAGAGGCTGGGTAAGCCCGGCACTTCTAGTGTCTGGGCTCAACAGAGAGCACCTCTCAGCTTGGTTTTCAATGGCTTTTTTTTTTTTTTTTTTGTGGTAATGGGGGTTGAACTCAGGGCCCTGTGATTGCTAGCCAGGTGCTCTACCACTTGAACCATGCTCCGCAGCCCTTCTTATTTTAGTTACTTTTCAAAGAGGGCCCCTGGTTTTTCCCAGGCCACAGTCCTCCCGTTTATGTGACCCACATAGCTGAGATAGAATGTTAGGCACCACCACACCCAGCTATTGGTTGAAAGGGGGTCTTGCTATCTTTTTGCACAGGCTGGCCTAGAACCTTGATCTTCCCAGTCTGAGCCTTCTGAAATCTGGAATTACAGATGCAAGCCACCTCGCTAGGGTCCCAGTTGTGTTCAAGGGCCTTAGGCCTTGCAGGCCTCTATCTGGAATCTCAAGAAATCAGCTGTCAGCAGCCTACAAGGCACACCCAATTTTGACACAGCTGCTATGGGTGCTGGGGTGGAAGGTAGAGTGTAATACTTTTCCTTAATTACCTAAACTAAAACTTCTGAGCTGCCTCTTTACTGGCCCTGCCAAGCTGGCAGTGTGACCAGGGACGTGGGGGCTGACATCTGGCTGCAGAGTGGGCTGCACCATTCTGGCGCCCTCCCACATGTCCAGGCAGCTGGAGTAGCAGGCCTAGGGTGCAGGGCCAGCAGGAAGGGACAGGTCCATTGCCTCAGCGCCCTTTTCCTGGTCTTCTCTACATGGGCAGACAGTGCGGAGTTCAAGGCATGCCATCCTCACCTCTAAAACTACAGTTTTCTGCCAGATTTACAGTTGCCAAGCACTCAGATCACAGCAGTTTTATAGCCCCAGCCACAAATAACCAGCATAGACCCTGCCATCCATACCTTTCCACCCTTCATGTGTCTTTCCTGTCTGCCCTGTGCTTAACACAGAATCTAAGTCAACTTTAGAGCTGGCAGAAGATAATAAAGGAAGTTTGAAGTAGGGAGGTGCTTGCAGGAGCTAGGTGCTGGGCTGTCTCCTAGGGCAAGCCATTCCCATTCCTGTCCTTAGGAGAGGAGGCGACAGAGGTAGCTAGTCTGTCAGACTCCAAAGCCTACATTTTTCCCACCATTTTGATTCAGAGTTTTCTTTAGACATCTCAGTTTATCATTTACCATCAAATTAGAAATGAAGCCCTACATATTCAAGTAAGAGCATTTCTCAGATTCCCCCAGTGGAGAGTGATCATCTGAAAGTGAATTCAGGGCCAGCTTTTGCATGTGGCACTCAAAAAGAGGTTCACATGGTGTGTCTGAAGCATCATTTCTAAGGTGGTTTGGTGACCAGTTCTAGCATCTTGTCTACTGCCTGGACCCTTTTATCTTTCCTTTTCTCTACTCAAAAGAGAAAGGCTGATTGTGTACTGTGGTTGGAGTGTGATTGAAACATAGCAGCAGCTTTTTTAAAGTGCTTTTCCATGGATAAGGTGCAACATAAAGATTAACTTATCCTATGTGTTCTGGATTTTGTGGCCTGACCACTTCAAGTTCTGTATTTGTAAGAGGTAATACCCAGGAACTATGCCAGGGGCAGGGTAAGGTCAAATGTGTGGCAGTGTGAAGGTGTGCAGACTGCAGCCTAGCCATCAGCAGCAGCATGACTGAGGGAAAGTGGAAATCTACTGCTCTCCGTGTCTGTCTGTCATTGAGATGGGTTTCACTGCTGTCCCAAATGTGGGGGGTCCCCCTCAATCTCACATGCCCTGTGAGGTAGTGGGCCTTAGGTGCACATTTATAGTGTGCTAGGTTAATTGTCATCACCTGAAAAATTCCTTAGATCAGATGGGGAGAGGAAGATAGCACCACCCATGAAAGTGATCACCGTTGCCTGCATTGCGTATTCAGAGCAGACCACCAAAGGGACGCCCACAGCACCCTTACCGGGATGGTTCACAGGAGAGCCCTGCCCCGTATTATTAGCATGAGACACAGATGACCAGGCCTCCCCCTCCAGAGCCAAGCAGTAGCTATGGTGTCTTAAATACCTACCCAGAAATCTGATTTCTTGGCATCTCAAGAAGGAATCTGCCTCACACTGCTAAACAATTGGCCCTTACGTGGATTTCGTGTGTGTTGAGCATGAATTAATATGCTTTTGCTATAACTGTTTCTTGTAAGAGAGCTAAATGAAAAGGCAAAGTGTAAATCATCTGCAGTGTCTACACTATGCCATTTAAAACATCCATCACCTAGGCATGGAAGGAATGGGGTACATTTAAGCTTTTGATTGTGTGTGTGACCTTGAAGTGAAGATGACCTCTAACATGGGAGCTTGAGAAGAGTTTGATGATGTAAGCCCAGCAGCAGGTAGGGCTGCCTCCCCTTTGCACCTTGTCCAGGGCTAAGGTGGCCTTCGGAGCAGGAAGGCAAGGCTGGGGCTACCCCCCACTTACGTGCTTTGCTCCATCTGCGCCAGGTTGCAGCCCCACCCATGTCACGGTGTACAGCGAGTATGGCGTTGATGTCTTTGATGTGCGCACCATGGAGTGGGTGCAGACCATCGGCCTGCGGAGGGTAAGGCAATTTAGGGTGGCCTCACTCTGGGTGGCTTCCCACCCATCTGTCCTCAGCTGCGTATGACTGTCCTTCTCTGCTTCCCCACACAGATAAGACCACTGAACTCTGATGGCAGTCTCAACCTGCTTGGCTGTGAGCCTCCGCGCCTCATATACTTTAAGAGCAAGTTCTCAGGTGAGCCTCTCAGCTGGTGTGTGTTTGAGGGGCAGACCCCTGGGCTTCTCTGTGGGCCAGCTGCTAGCTTGCAGGGATGCATGACTGCTTCACTCTCCTGCAGGAGCCATCCTCAACGTGCCCGACACCTCCGACAGCAGCAAGAAGCAGATGCTCCGGACACGGAGCAAACGGCGCTTTGTCTTCAAGGTTCCAGAGGAAGAGAGGCTGCAGCAGCGGCGGTGAGGGCACCTGCTGGAAGGAAGAGGGGCTGGTGTAGAGCCAGAGGGTACTGCAGGTTCTTAATTACCAAACTGCTGCCTTTTCCCAGAGAGATGCTCAGAGATCCAGAATTGAGATCCAAAATGATATCCAATCCGACCAACTTTAACCACGTGGCCCACATGGGTCCTGGCGACGGGATGCAGGTGCTCATGGACCTGCCTCTGGTATGTTCACAGTCTGGGGAGGGGCTCCATCTGGTCCTGTGCTGGCACCCACACCTGTGCAGACCATCCCCCCACACCTGTGCAGACCATCCCCCCACACCTGTGCAGACCATCCCCGAGGCAGGGCCTCTGAGCTCGCTGCCTCTCCTGTCCTGTCCTCCTCAGTGGGCTGTGCTGACCTGCAGCACTGTCACACAGCCTGTCTCTGATGCAGCCCTTCAGTGTTTTCCAGCTAATGAGCATTAGGGCATTACCTGAGCCACTCCTGGGCTGTGGGCAGGCATCTGAGTGGAAGGTCCTGTTTCCATCTCCATCTGCCCTTCAGCTGAAGAAGGGTTTCTAACTTCTTGGTATGAGGGATAACGTGGTTTTTCTTTTCCTTATTTTAAGTGTTTTCTGTAGGATTTGACTTTTCCCCAAATTGCCATGGCCAATATTTAGCTCAAACTTAGCTCAAACTGACCAGAGGCTGTGTACAGAGGCCCTAGGTGGCCTTTGCTGACTGTCCCTGTTCATGTGCCTCCTCTCTCCCAGAGTGCAGCGCCCCCCACCCAGGAAGAGAGGTCTGGCCCCACCCCTGCGGGCCTGGCCCGGCAGCCCCCGTCCAGGAGCAAACCCTACATCTCGTGGCCCTCATCAGGTACTGAGAAAGGGTGGGTGCTGGGACAGAGACTCTGCTCTCCATTTGCTTGCTTCTTCTCCCTAAGGTAACAGCTGTGCTTGCTCCATAGGAGCGTCAGAACCAGGAGTGACCATGCCTCTGAGGAGCATGTCTGACCCTGACCAGGATCTTGACAGAGAGGTGCGGCTCACCCCAGCGAGGGAAGTGGCATGGGTACCTGCGGAGGCCTGCAGAGGACACAGTGGCTGCTGTTTAGAGAAGAATGCTTCTTAGACCCAAGAGCAGCCCCTGACTGGAGTGCAAGCCCTTGGGTGGCCCAAAATGGGCAGCTCTGAGTGTGATAGGAAGGGAGTGCTGGCGTGCCTGTGTCTTGGGCATGTTTCTGGGCACAGCCCCAGCCCAGCATGGACATGGAATCTGACTTTGCTGCTGACTTGCTCCCTTCCCCGCCCTGGGGCTTGTCATCCTGTCCACTGCAAATCGGCCATCTTTTCAGTGAAGGGCAGCTTTCAGTTGGCAGTGTACTTCTCAGAGTCACTAGTCTGAAGTGTTTGAACTTCTTTTCTTTTTTTTTTTGGCAGTACTGGGGTTTGCACTCGGGGCCTTGGACTCGTTAGGCAGGTGCTCTACCACTTGAACCTCAGCCCTTTTTTTTTTTTTTTGCTTACTATTTTTCAAATAGGGTCTGGCACATTTTGCCCAGGCAGTTCTTAGACCTTGGTCCTTTTATCTGTACCTCCTACATAGCTGGGACTACAGGCAAGTACCACCACATCCAGCTCCTACTTGATTTTTTTGAACGAGCAGGTGAAGGTGAGGTGCAGCATCAGACTCTCTGAGTACTTCTGAGTGATGTTGCCATCACCACCACATGCCACAGTTGCTTGCTTACTCTGGTCCTGGACTGTCCACCGTCAGATTCCCCAGCTGACCCAGTGATGCCCTCCAGAGCACTCCTAAATCCAGAGTCCAGTCAAGGGACGTGTGCTGCATTCATTTGCCACATCTCCTCGGTCTTTTCTGTTTTTAATCTTTCATGGCATTGAACTTGCTCTGAAAAGAACAGCTTTTTTGCAGATTGTCCATCATCCAGGTCTTGCCTGATACTTTGAATTAGATAGAATGAAAAGTCTCTCCCACCCTTCTTCCAGCCACCCAGTTCATGTTAGAGACAACAGAGTCAAGTATGTATGTGCACGCACTCCTACACTTTCTCCGTAGGTTGCATGAATCATGCCCCTTTCCTAAGAGCAGGAAGATCCTCTTACAATAACCACAGTCCGGCTGTCATACTGATTCAGGCACATTGCAGTTCTCACAGTTGTCCCTGCAATGTTTCCTTGAGGCAGAACATAATCAAGCATTATGTGTTAGGTCCCCTCTGTGTCTCCTCTGCTTCAGAACACTTCCTCAGCCTTTTTCTGATGTAACCATACGCACTTGCAGTGCGCACCCTCCTCTTGCAGAGTACTCCTCAGTTGGGTGACCCATGTCTCCTCATGTTCTGTATGAGGACCACTTAGCTCAGGGTGCCATGTCCCGAGACAGGCAGCACCTGTTTGCTCTGCCTTGACCTCATCGGCTCCTCTCAAACATATTTCCTAACACAGTGTAGCCCTTTTTCCTTCAGTACTGGGGGCGGGGGGTGAGGGGTGGAACCCAGGGCCTTGTATACGGTGGAGAATGCTCTTCCACAGAACTACACCCCCAGCCCCAGCAGCCACTTTAAGTTGAACTTGGTGGTGGTCACAAGGTGTATAGCCACCATGTCATCAAAACATTTTCATCACTTCAAAATGAAGCCCTGAAACACACCCACTGAGCACTTTCTCTCTACTCCTCCCTCCTCTCATCCCCTGGTAAGCACCAGTTCTCTGTCTGGGACTGGCCTGTTTTGGACATGACATATAAAAAAAGTCATGTGCCTTTTATATGTAAGTGGTTACTGGCTTTTTGTGTCTGGCCGCCTTCACTGCATAGCATTTCTGACTCCATCCACGTGTGTCATGAATAATACTCTGGCTTATGTATAGGCCACAGTTTTGTTTTTTCATGCTGCCAGTGATGGATGTTTGGACTGTTTCCATCTTTTGGCTATTGTGAGTAACGCTGCTAGGACTGTGGATGCACATGTCTTTGTTAACGTACCTGCTTTCGCTTCTTCCAGGTGTATACCTAGACGTAACTTGCAGTGTCATCGGGTAATTCTGTGTTAACTTTTTGAGGAACTACCAAATTTTAAACTCCCATCGGCAGTGTAGGGAGTGTATTTTTTTTTAAAAAAATAGCCACCCTGATGGGTGTGAAGCAGAACTTGACTGTGGCTTTGATTTTACATTTCCCTCGGGACTAATGGCGTTGAGCACCTTTTCATACGCTTGCTGGCCATTTGTATCCCTTCTCTGAAGGGTGTGTGTGTGTGTGTGTGTGTGTGTGTCCCTTCTCTGAGGGGTGTGTGTGTGTGTGTGTGTGTGTGTGTGTGTGTATCCCTTCTCTGAAGGGGGGTGTGTGTGTGTGTATCCCTTCTCTGAAGGGGTGTGTGTGTGTGTGTGTGTGTGTGTATCCCTTCTTTGAAGGGTGTGTGTGTGTGTGTGTGTGTGTGTCTGGGGACAGAACCCAGGGCCTCACACATGCTAGCAAGTGCTCTACCACTGAGCCATGTCCCCAACCCCATATCCATTTCAAAATTGGTTTATTTATTTACATATTATGACCTATCAGATACATCCTTTGCAAATATTTTAAAGATTTACTCCTATGTTTTCATCTATGGGGTTTAAGGTTTTAATGGTTATATTTAGGCTGTTAGTCTGTTTTAATTTTTGTATGTGATGTGATACAGAGGGCTAACTTCATTCTTTCGATGTAATCTACTTGTCCACTCTTGTATATAAATTTCCAGCACCATTTGCTGAGGAGTCTCTTCTTTCCCCATTGTGGTCTTGACACCCTTATTAAATCAGTTGACCTTGGGTATGAACTTATTTGTGAGTTCTCCATTCTGATCCTTTGGTTCTATCCTTTCTCAGTACCACACTGTTACTTTGTAGTGTATTTTGAAGTAATAAGCATGTGAAATGAGTCCTTCAGCATCATTTCTTTTTTAATACTGTTCTGACTCTTCTGGGATCCTTGCAATTCCAAGTAAATTTGAGGATTGGCTTTTCCATTTGTGAAAAAAGCCATTGAAATTTCAGTAGTGATTGCACTGAATCTGTAGACCACTTCGGGAGCAATACCATCCTGACAATATTAAGTCTCCCAATCCATGAACATTGGATGGGCTTCCATTATTTAAGTTTTCCTTAATTTCTTTTAGCAATGTTTTACAATTTATAGTGTGCAAATCTTTCTCCTCCTTCATTAAACTTATTCCTAGCTGTTTTATTCTTTTGGATGCTATTGTAAATGGAATTGTTTTTCTGTTTCCTTTTCAGATTATTCTTTGCTGGTGTATAGAAACACAACTGAGTTTCTTGTGTGATCCTGAACCCTACAACTGTGCTAATTCATTTAGAGTTGTGTGTGGGAGTGGGAGGGTCTTTGGAATCTTCTAGGTATAGAATCATGTCATTTGCAAGTACAGATAGTTGTACTTCTTTCCAACTTGGATATCTTTGTGTTTCTTTTTCTTGCCTAAAAGCTCTCTGGCTAGAACTTGTAGCAGCAGGAAATTTCAAAACACCCTTTTTTTGTTCTTGGTGTCAGAGGGAAAGCTTTCTCTCACCTTTGAGTGTGCTGTCAGCAGTGGGTTTTTTATAAGGCCTTTATCATGGTGAAGCTCTCCTCTGTATCTAGTGCTTCTCCATAAAAGTGGAGCTTTGAGATTTCTGGCCACATGGCTGCAATCACCTGCTTCTTCACTTTGCAGTGACGCTATTCTGTAATTACGATGGCGTCATTTCCAAGTGAGGGAGATGGTGGTTTAACGACTCCATACACAGCTTGTATAGAGTGTGTTTTCACCAAAGGAAAGAAAGTAGTTGCCTTCTGTGCTCTCCATGGACCCAGTGTACTTGGTTTTCATGTGTCCCCTTCTTTGCATTGACAGCCTGACTCTGACTCCACCAAACACTCAACTCCTTCGAACAGCTCTAACCCCAGTGGCCCGCCAAGCCCCAACTCGCCCCACCGGAGCCAGCTTCCCCTTGAAGGCCTGGAGCAGCCAGCCTGTGATTCCTGAGGCCACCAGAGCACGACCATGGGGCCAAGGAGCCGGGGAGGCCCCACCATCAGTGCCAAGACTGAGCTGACCCTCCAGTGTTGTGCAAGGATATGTAGAATCAGTTTGTAGATATGGAGATAAAAAAAAATCTTTATTATAATTATGATCAGTTTTATGCCATGTTGTTTGTGGCAGTAGACCGGATCTGTTTGTCTGCACAGCCGTGAGGCGACACTGTTCCGTTTGCACATGAAGGACCACCACACACCTCTCTCCCTCCCAGAACCACCAGGGAAGGTACGTGGGGCTCTGCCGACCAGATCCTGACCATGCCGTGAGCACTCAGCCTGCTGAGGAAGCGGACAGCTCGGCTCGGCTCGGCCTCCGTACCTAGTCTTTCCCCTATTTCCTTAGAAGCATAGGAAGTTATGTATTATGCCCAGTGTCACTGAGACAGCGAGGACAGGAGAGTGGAGTTAGTTTATGGTCTTCTCTTCATTCAGCCATTGCATGGTCAGCTGCAGAAGTGCTGACCCCCAGATGTGGACAGAGCCCCGGGACATCACTGTGTCCTGTGTGTTAGTCCATGCTGGGCCACAGCCATGAGGTGTCCCCAGCCCCCCCCCCTGCTGTGAAGGCAGCTGTGTTCTGACTCCATGTGCTCCCGTGGCATTTTCCACCTGGGGGAGCCACACAGCAGGCGCTGGGGCACTTCCCCACCTTCCCTTCCCCGCATGGAGCCCCGTGATTAGTAGCTGTCGATCATGTAGAGACACCAACACACTCCTGCACACTGGCCCTGCCCCGTGGCGTGGTGACGTCTGCGTGTGCATTTAATCTCACCCCTGCTCACATTCTCCGTTGAGTGAGCAAGTCTGTTGTGGCCCTGTCTCATTAAAGGCTTGTGATTAACTGTGGCAGCAGACGCACTTGTCCTCTGCTCAGGATGGGCTTCCCGTGCACGTGGTGAGCGGCACTGAGGGATGTGGCGATGCCGGCTGTGCCCGCGCACGCCACACCAGCTCCTGCCTGCCCCACCTACCCTCCTGGGCCTTGTGCCGGGGCAGGCACCTGCTGGAGGTTCTGGTTTTTACTTTTTTAATGTAAGTCTAAGTCTTTGTAATTATTGAATCGTGAGAACATTTTTGAACAATTTACCTGTCAATAAAGCAGAAGACAGCAGTTTTAAAGTTTTCAGTGATTTGTCTGGATGTGATGGTGTTGCCCTGAGTGTGCCTGGCTCCTCCAGGAGGGCCCATGTTCATATGGAGAACTGCCCTGGGATTTTATTATCCAACAGGGTGGGGTTGCTAGGTGGCACAAAACCCAGGTGCTGTCCCCCTGTGGACCAGGCAGTGACTGCCTGGGTATAGGAAATCACAGGCCTATGCTTTTGAGGAGGTGAGAGAGGCACCTGTGCACTTGATTAACCTTGCTCTCCTGACCTGCTCAGTACAGGCAGCAGAAGGCAGTTCTGCCTACGCCTGACTTAGATACGGGGAGTGAACTGTATCCATAAGCAGACACACCGTTATCTTAAATCATTGGTGAGAGTGGGGGTTTTATGATTCCTTTCCTCCAAGGGAAAATGGAGTCTTGTAACCTGAAGCACGTCCTTGTTCCTGTTCAAGTATACCTAGCTGCCTACCTAAAAGTATCTTACACATCTACAATAAAATACTGATTACTAACCTAGGCAAAATTGCAAAAACGTTTACAATTTCAAAGACATCTTACCAACAAACTTAAAGATTTGCCTAATTCATGTGAACTTTATGCATCTGGGCTAATTTAAAGCTTTGTTTTAGGGCTTTTGGGGGGCCAGTACTGGGGGGGTGGTTGAACTCGGCCTTGCCCCCTTTTTTTGTGTTGGTCATGTTTGCGACAGGGTCTTGCTTTATTCCCCAGGCCAGCCTGGACCTTGATCCTATCTGTGCTTCCCCACATAGCTGGTATGACAGGCAACAGGGTGAGCAACACGCACCCAACCATCTGAGATGGGGGGAGAAGGAACTTCAGCTAGGATTCCCAGCTTGAGCCATCACACCAGGCTAATACTGATTTACAGGAACCAATCTGACACCATACAAACAATGTTTGATTGCAAACAAACACAGGACATTTGGACATAACATGCAAAGGACACAGTCAACCATGCATAAAATTAGACCAAAAAAAAAGTTTTACACCGTTAGAGTCATCACTTGCCAGGTTTTTTGTCAGATGGCTGATCCCATTGCTTCCTCCACAGCACTAAGTAATCCTTAATTCCAAACCTGCATCCAAAGGTTTGACTCAGTAGAAATGAGATAGAAAATTTATATCTCAAAGACACAGGACTTAACTAAGCACCATTGAGAGGGGCTGAGGTCAAAGCCCAGGGTAAATAAAAAAAAAAGGTCAAAAGGCGAGGCTTGTTCTTTTTCTGCACTTACGTTGCTATCTTTCTGGGGGGGGGCGGTGAAGAAGTGGCACTTGCGACATCCTCACCACAGATTTCTTTTGCCATGAGTTTGTTTTTTTTATTATTATTCATATGTGCATACAATGCTTGGGTCATTTCTCCCCCCTGCCTCCACCCCCTCCCTTACCACCCAGTCCGCCCCCTCCCTCTCCCCCCCCACCCCCTCAATACCCAGCAGAAACTATTTTGCCCTTATCTCTAATTTTGTTGAAGAGAGAGTATAAGCAATAATAGGAAGGGACAAGGGGTTTTGCTGGTTGAGATAAGGATAGCTATACAGGGAGTTGACTCGCATTGATTTCCTGTGCGTGGGTGTTACCTTCTAGGTTAATTCTTCTTGAACTAACCTTTTCTCTAGTTCCTGGTCCCCTTCTCCTATTGGCCTCAGTTGCTTTTAAGGTATCTGCTTTAGTTTCTCTGCATTGAGGGCAACAAATGCTAAGTTTTCAGGTGTCTTACCTATCCTCACCCCTCCCTTGTGTGCTCTCGCTTTTATCATGTGCTCAAAGTCCAATCCCCTTGTTGTGTTTGCCCTTGATCTAATGTCCACATATGAGGGAGAACATACGATTTTTAGTCTTTTGGGCCATGAATTTTTAAATGCTCAGCCAAAATGTCAGAAACTCAGAATCTGGAGACCTCGTTGGGGAGATCCTTCAACTTTGCTTTCTAATCAAGTGCAGCCCTGGGATGAGAAGACGCCCCCAAGCCTGACACGCCTCAAGCTCTCAGCTTTCCCCCTTCCTGCTCTGTCACATCAAAGCCAAAGAACGGGGGAGCCACAGGTCTCACAAGTTGTGCCCTGGCAAACCCTGGAGGCCCCCAGTCATGAGACTTTCCTCAACCCCAGGATTTATTACTTTCACCCCACAGATGCCCACACGCCATAGTATCAGAAAAGAGTAACCATGAAGAACCTGTTATATGAGAGCTGACAGTCCAGAGTGCAAGAAGGGAACAGGATGTAGACACATAGGTACATAGATGTATCTCGAGATCTTGATGCCAGAAAAGCTCCAGGCATTCCTCACAGAGCCACTGGCTCCCAGGTTGTCAGGAGCCCCAGGCTTGCAGGAGAGATTTCTCAGTCTCCCAGAAGTTGTAAGACCCCTGAAGACTGGAAGGCCCTCACAATGGAGATAACATTGACATCCCAGAAGTGAGACCTCAAAGGCTGGGGCAGAGGGAAATGGTCCTCACAACAGAGATATCTTATCTCCCAACCTCCGAGAAGCCAGTCTTGCAAGGGGTTGGGTGACCCAACAGTCCATGTCTTTTCAGGCAAGCATTGCTGCCTTTACAGCAGACACCAGAAACACGAGCTCGGTGTGGTGACTCAAAACGCCAGTAATACTCACATACTTGGAAGGCAGAGATGGTAGTAAGGAGACTGCAGTTTGACACCAGCCTGAACAAAAAAGTTAGCAAGACCCCCATCTCAACCAATAAGCCTGGTATAGTGGTGTACACCTGTGGTCCCAGCTCTACAGGAGGAATAGATAGGAGGAGCGTGGTCCAGGCCAGCTTAAACAAAAACAGCCCCTAAAGCAAAAAGGGCTGGGGACTCGGCTGAAGTGGTAGAGCATCTGTCTAGCCCAAGGCCCTGGGTTCAAAATGCAGGACAGCAAAAAGGAAAATACAAAATATTCTCTTCTAGGGAGAAAACTGATCAGGCCATGTCCCATCTGGGTGCCAACACCGGTACTTGATATTTTTATCATAAATTGGGTCTTTTAAACTGTCAAAATATCCCTATTTGCAGACAACATGATCCTATACCTTAAAGACCCAAAAAACTCTACTCAGAAGCTTCTAGACATCATCAATAGCTATAGCAAGGTAGCAGGATATAAAATCAACATAGAAAAACCATTAGCATTTCTATACACTAATAATGAGCAAATTGAAAAAGAATGTATGAAAACAATTCCATTTACAATAGCCTCAAACAAAATCAAATACCTAGGTGTAAACCTAACAAAGGATGTGAAAGACCTCTACAAGGAAAACTATACACTTCTGAAGAAAGAGATTGAGGAAGACTATAGAAAGTGGAGAGATCTCCCATGCTCATGGATTGGTAGAATCAACATAGTAAAAATGTCTATACTCCCAAAAGTAATCTACATGTTTAATGCAATTCCCATCAAAATTCCAATGACATTCATTAAAGAGATCGAAAAATCTACCGTGAAATTTATATGGAAACACAAGAGGCCACGAATAGCCAAGGCAATACTCAGTCAAAAGAACAATGCAGGAGGTATCACAATACCTGACTTCAAACTATATTACAAAGCAATAACAATAAAAACAGCATGGTACTGGCACAAAAACAGACATGAAGACCAGTGGAACAGAATAGAGGATCCAGATATGAAGCCACACAACTATAAGCAACTTATCTTTGACAAAGGAGCTAAAAATATACGATGGAGAAATAGCAGCCTCTTCAACAAAAACTGCTAGGAAAACTGGTTAGCAGTCTGCAAAAAACTGAAACTAGATCCATGTATATCACCCTATACCAATATTAACTCAAAATGGATCAAGGATCTTAATATCAGACCCCAAACTCTAAAGTTGATACAGAAAAGAGTAGGAAATACTCTGGAGTTAGTAGGTATAGGCAAGAACTTTCTCAATGAAACCCCAGCAGCACAGCAACTAAGAGATAGCATAGATAAATGGGACCTCATAAAGCTAAAAAGCTTCTGTTCATCAAAAGAAATGGTCTCTAAACTGAAAAGAACACCTACAGAGTGGGAGAAAATATTTGCCAACTATACATCAGAGAACGGACTGATAACCAGAATATACAGGGAACTTAAAAAACTAAATTCTCCCAAAACTAATGAACCAATAAAGAAATGGGCAAGTGAACTAAACAGAACTTTCTCAAAAGAAGAAATTCAAATGGCCAAAAAAACACATGAAAAAATGCTCACCATCTCTAGCAATAAAGGAAATGCAAATTAAAACCACGCTAAGATTCCACCTCACCCCTGTTAGAATAGCCATCATCAGCAACACCACCAACAACAGGTGTTGGCGGGGATGCGGGGAAAAAGGAACCCTCTTACACTGTTGGTGGGAATGTAGACTAGTACAACCACTCTGGAAAAAAATTTGGAGGCTACTTAAAAAGCTGGACATTGATCTACCATTTGATCCAGCAATACCACTCTTGGGGATATACCCAAAAGACTGTGACACAGGTTACTCCAGAGGCACCTGCACACCTATGTTTACTGCGGCACTATTCACAATAGCCAAGTTATGGAAACAGCCAAGATGCCCCACCACTGACGAATGGATTAAGAAAATGTGGTATCTATACACAATGGAATTTTATGCAGCCATGAAGAAGAACGACATGTTATCATTCGCTGGTAAATGGATGGAATTGGAGAACATCATTCTGAGTGAGGTTAGCCTGGCCCAAAAAACCAAAAATCGTATGTTCTCCCTCATATGTGGACATTAGATCAAGGGCAAACACAACAAGGGGATTGGACTTTGAGCACATGATAAAAGCGAGAGCACACAAGGGAGGGGTGAGGATAGGTAAGACACCTAAAAAACTAGATAGCATTTGTTGCTCTCAACGTAGAGAAACTAAAGCAGATACTTTAAAGCAACCGAGGCCAATAGGAGAAGGGGAACAGGTACTAGAGAAAAGGTTAGTTCAAGAAGAATTAACCTAGAAGGTAACACACACGCACAGGAAATCAATGTGAGTCAATGCCCTGTATAGCTATCCTTATCTCAACCAGCAAAAACCCTTGTTCCTTCCTATTATTGCTTATACTCTCTCTTCAACAAAATTAGAGATAAGGGCAAAATAGTTTCTGCTGGGTATTGAGGGGGTGAGGGGGAGAGGGAGGGGGCGGGGTGGGTGGTAAGGGAGGGGGTGGGGGGAAGGGGGGAGAAATGACCCAAGCCTTGTATGCACATATGAACAAAATAAAAATTTTTTAAAAATTAAAAAGATAAAAAAACTGGGTGGTCTGCTTTTTCTCTTTGCTTATTTTGATTCTTGTAGCTTTTTCGCTTACACTCAGGTAAGACAGGGCTGGTGGAGTGGCTCAAGTGGTAGAGCGCCTGCTTGGCAAGCTTGAGGCCCTGAGTTCAAACCCCAGTAA